ATATATATATATATATATTTGCTTTTATCACCACATGTCAATATACAAACGCCGGGTCAAATAGATCTGATCATAAGTAATAATAAATATACTTCCACAGATGACTCCTTGTCTCATTGCTGATGAATGTGCTGCTGATACAAAGGCTAATCAAGACTCACCTTAAGTCCTTTTCGAGCGTGTGCTGCCCCTCTACCAAAATATGCAAATGTAGCCCTAGGATCCACCTGTGAAGGGGAGAAAATATCAATTAAAACATTAAAACAATAGTGAAGGTTACTGTACTTGTATAAAAGAAATAAATCACATATAAAATAGTCATAAACTTGATAAATTACAAGAAAAATTTTTGATGCATACACCAATGTTCCCTCTAAGGTTTGCTGGTTGGTGTGCAAAATATTACGGTTGTGTGCAAAGTTTTACAGCATCGATTTTTTTGTGTGCAAAATTTTACAGCCCACAAATACAAACACACACTTGCATGGAAATTTGCTGCGCGGATACTCAAAACTACTGCGAGGCGTCTGTGAGATATCTGATTGGCCGCGCAGCTTTAAAGGGAACATTGGCATACACTTCATTCTAAAAAAAATATTTAATTAATTAATTAAATAAATTTTAAAATAAAAGATAGACTATTGGCAAACGTTTGGTAAGATATTTAACCCAAAAAAGACAATTGATGGTTTCAAAGAATAATTGTGTACATACTGTTATGACAGAAGTGAATACTTCCACAGCCTTGTCAAGGTTACCCAGATTCAGCAGGACAATCCCCATGGCTGAAGATAAATAAGAAAGAAAAGAAAACAAGATTAATCAATTACACTGAGGAAAAAAAAATTAATGTGACCATTATATTTGGTAAAGATGCTTGTATGTGCTATAAGCCAAGTAACAAACATCCTACATTATTATAAAATTTCTACAACAGGTTTTTTATAATATAAAAAAATACATTAGAAATACAATACAAATTAGCTTACCAACTTTATGATCAAGTTTTTCATCTCCAGTACTGAATGGGAGGAGTTGCCTCTCTTCAATAATCTCTGCCAATTCCTGGAGAGAGAAGAAAAATAACCATTGTCAGAATGAGAAGAACATTCCTTTTGGAGTAATGGGGGTTTATTATCAATTTTGTATGTTTTTTTTAAATTGAAATTTAAGATGGTGGCAAAAGAAATATTATGTAAAAAAAAATAGTTACCTCCACATCTTCTAAACTGAAACTGCAAATATTGTCCAAGCAAACTTCCCTTTGAGATTTTCCATTCGCACATAAACCAGAGGGCAATGACTGAGAATCCTCAGAATCTTGAAGTAAAGTAAAATAAATTCATCTAATCCTCTTCAAAGATAAATTGAGAAATACATGATTTTTTTTCAAAATTATACATCATCTGGAAAGATTTGGATTATTTATACTAATTAGCTTAATAATTTGGCGGCTACAAATTAAAGTCATCTATGTAAAGCTTTGATCAAAATGAAATACACATTTCTTACTTTCAAATACTTTCATTAGGACAAGGAAAAAAGAGGTTAGGATCATCTTTGAAATAAAATTGTGACATTTTTTTCGGTTCAATAGGACAAATGGCATATCAAATAATGCTCGGATAAGTTAAATAAAAAATATTATTTGAATAACTTTTTAACAGCTTGGAGATGTGACCATTGAACCCATTAAGAGAATACTGTCCAACCTGTTTACATTTTAGAAAACTATTCTTATTATTAATATGTCTTACCTTGTGCATAAAAAACTGTAGTGCTTTTTTAATTCTCGAAATTTTATTAATTCAGGGTATTTTTAAGCAGCATCCGTACTCTTTATTTTATAAATGTTTACCAGTCAAAACATTTCATTTTTTAGACTCGATGTTGGTCATTTACAGAGTATCCAGTTTTATTGATGTAGATGCTTCCAAAACATATTCAGAATTTTGTTAAATTTCCATACCGGTATTTTGGAAGGCGGAATTTTTCTGTACCCTAATTTAACTAAATATGGCTTATGTATGATGTGCATTCTTTATGTTTTGTGGTTTTCATGAGGGATGCAAAATCAAGGACCACCTTGGGCGTCACAAAGTCTTGCTACTCCACTCGATGGAGGAATATAAGTAAGTAATTATTGCCAATAGCTTACAAACAAAGCAAGACCAGTGAAAATTTCTTGTATTCATTTTTATATAAAGTGTCATTAGTAAACATACTATACAAATATTTGCTACTTTTGAAATTATTTATATAGATAATAGTAAAAAATATATAACTTTAAATTTAAAAATCCGCCTGCTTTATTCTTATTCAACATTTATTCTCAAATTTTCAACTGTTACACAAAAATCTAAATAACATAACACTTACAATTTTGAGTGTCACTTACCACATTCGATTATAAGCTCTCCTGGGGTAAACACAAGATTAAACGTAGGTGGAGTTGAGATCCACTGGTTGTATTGATAACCAAAATTGTTAAATTTTGCAGAATCTTCATCACTCAGATTACAACCTGGACAAGCACTATCATCATCAACGTCAACTTTTTTTAGGTTAAGTTCAATATACTGCTGTTTGCCATCCTCATTATCTATTTGAATGTTGGAGATTTTACATACCTGACCGTATGTAGGGATTGTGAGTAAACAAAACAAACAAATTAAAAGTGAAAGTAGCCACACATCCATTTTCTTCTCTTTGGGTCACACTAAATACCGTTGTTTGAAGTGTATGCCCCAGCTAGTTTCAATAATATTGCATATGCCTCATGCGGTTTTAGCGAAAAGTCTGATTAGACTTTAATACTATTAATAACTGTAAAATTGTTATATTTTAGGTATCGAGATGCAGTTAAGAATCTGAGTGTTTAATAACAGTTTATTCATTATATACACAATTAACAATGTTCGTTTAAAATTGTTTTGTTTTATGACCAACATTTTGATTTTGTTCTCTTTCACTTTCATAAATTGCTCCAATATAATAAAACCTGTAGGTGTACCTAGTGTAAGTATTTATTGCCTGATATTGTTTTTGTTGTTTTTTTCACTTTATTTTAATTCAAATGAAATTATTTTATTACTTTCATATTTTATTATTTTTTTTTATGACTGAAGACTTTAAAAAGTTTAAAGTTCATTTTAAATCACTTTGAATCCTTTTATATTTTTTTAAAGGCAAGGCCTTTTAAAATCAAATACTGGAAAATAAATGTTACATTCCACTCAAATGAGTTCTGGCTCAAGTCTATTTTTTGTTTTTTTGTTTTTGTTTCCTCAGCTGTCAGTTAGTCGTTAGGTGAAAGCAAGTGTACAATAAATTGTGCTAAAAATAACCTTGTTTAAGCGCCGTGAAGTTTATTTCAACGTTTTATTGTCTTTTTACATTGTTGATCAAAAAAATTTCTTTTGATTGTTGCCTTTTGCTTATTCTGGCACATATTAGTATTAGAATTTATCAAAATTTGGCGTACTGGTTCCGTTATCCATGATTCACTTATTCTGATATAATGAATTTAAAATAATGTACCAGGGATTATATTTCTATATCAAAATATAAAATATTTATAATCTGTGAAAATAAACTAATAGAAATAGAATCTAATATTTAATTATTATTCCTATTAAATACGTTGAACGGAAATTGTCTAAATTAAAGTATATTATAAAAGGTTTTGCCTTTAGTAAATAATATTTCTTTTTAATGATTCACTGAGAGAAACTTACTACAAATAGCTCCCATCATAAAGACGTTCACTTTCCATAAGAGCTCTAAGTTTAAGTAAGGTTATATCAGAGGCGTCATACACCTTTTTGAGGCCCCTTGCCATTTTGTGCCCCACCCTGCTTTCAAAGTTGATAGTTACAATTTTTTTTTTCCATGTTAAAACTTTGGGCCCCTTAAGTTTACAAGAGATGCAGAACCCACGTGACGGTTCTAGGTTGAATGAACACCTGCCTGTTTTTTATCACATAATACATTGTCAAGTCCTGGGTTAAATAGCTTTGAATGAAGTAAACAAAAAATCATAGCCAAATTGAACACAGTGGACTGGAGAGATGTAAAATATGATTTTCAGAAACTTACTTAATCATACTTAATGATTTTTAAAATTAAGAATTAATAGAAGATATAGGGAAACATTCAAAAATCAGTTATTTAAAAAATTTACATTTAACATAAATTTTATGATTCTTTAAATCATGCAATATAAAAAAAACTATCAATATCAAAGGTCAGCATGTCGTTCCCAGTTTATGCTAAGTTTACTAAACTAGCAAATTTAGTTTTAGATGATGAAACAATCAAACAGATTGATATAGAAGTTATTGAAATTAAGTTAGACTGTAATAGTAATGATCTTTTTGAAAATATATTTCACACTATACAGTATACAAATAAATACAGTTACTTCAGTATATGATAAAACCAACCGTCCGGTGAACCTAATGACTTCTCCTCTTATACCATAAATTATAAACTTATCTGGTTTGTTGTAACCCGGTACTTGGCTAAGACTTATGTGGGTCCTTGGTAACCCGGGTAGGTGTTTTTCAAATTTTTTATGAAACACAAAATTAAATTTGAACACTGGTATAATGAACCATTTTTGTTTTTTAAATAAATGATTTATTCTTTTCCATTCTATTTATGTATTTTGCATCATTACACCTTTTTCATTATGAGTGCATACATAAGCAGTCAGAAGACTACAGTAGAATATTTAAACTTTTCATCAAGTACCAGTTACTTTTGAAAATGACATCCAGTCAACTGCATATTTACTTACCTCAATTATTAGAGTAAAACAATTATAATTTAAAAAAACCAAGAAATGCATTCAGAGTTGAGTAAATGTTTGCAAAAAAAATGTAGAATTACTTAATAATTATATATAATATTAACGTAACAAAGTTAAATGGTAAGAGTAAAAATAGCTATTTCGCGCTTCAAAAAAAGTCATACAATAATAATAAAACTTTTTAATTATCCAGCTTTATTGTCAATAAGTATAAACCAATGTAAATTTACAAAAGACTTTTTATTTAAACAGTTTATTAATAACGGGTACATTTATACAATGACATGTGATCTTGAGTATAATTGCTTTTCATTGATCCAAAATTTCTTCTCTCTCTAATGTAAAAATAACATTGTCAGGTAAGCTGAGGTGCAGCTTGGATAAATGAGCTTTGAGCCGAATAGTTCGAGTACATGTAAAGTCGCAGAAAGCACAGCGATAAACCTTTTTCCTTAACAAGGATTTAGGTTTGATTTGATCTTTCATATGGATAGCCATATGCTTCTTAAGCTGAGTGGGGCGTATAAAAGAGAATGAACATTCCGGGCACTGGTGGGGCTTTCGATCAGAATGAGTCAGCATGTGCTCTCTGAAATCTGCAGCCCTGTTCCCTGCATAGTTGCACAGCTCACAGTTATATTTGTGTCGGTTTTCATGTAGAGACATCATGTGTATCTTTAGGCTGTCATGCTTTTTATATTTGGCATTGCACAGGTGGCAGCAGAACGGGTACTCGTATGTATGCTGAAGCAAATGTATGCTCAGCTGTTGTTTCTGAACACATGAATAGCTACAGTACTGACACTGAAAAGGTTTCAAACCGTGCGAGAATTTATGCTTCTTCATTAGGTAATCCGTGGCAAACTTTTCACTGCAGATGTCACATTTGTAAGGGTTATCTCCTGTGTGCTTGACCAGATGTGACTTCAGACCCTGCAGACTCTTACATCTGTGATCGCACCGAGGACACTGGTAGAGATTTGAGGGCTTTCCTCCAGTTGTGTGTGTCAGAGCGTGCTGCTGTAAAGTCATCTTACTCTTGCAGGCAAATTGGCAAACATCACAGTGGTACAGCTTCTGATCAGTGTGGCTGATCAAATGTTTTTTCATGCGGAATAATTCATCACACATGTAGTGGCAGTGGGCGCACTTGTAGTTCTTTGTGCTAGTGTGTTTTCGAAGATGCTTGTTAAAGGTGGACTTGTAATCGCAGGAGAACAAACAATGGGTGCAGTGGTACATCTTGGATTTGGAATGGTTCCTCATGATTTCTGGCTCCACTGGTTCTTCTTTAACAACAGTGGGGAGTGGCTCTTCCTTGACTACAGTGACAATAAAATTGTTGGATGGCTGCAGAAGTTGATCAAACGTGAAACTTCCAAGATCTCCAACAGTGAAGGTGTCTGTGTCAGGCCATTCACTCTCAGGGTCCCACTGCTGACCGGTGGTAGAGAGCAAAACCGTCTGATCATTCTGTATTAACTGCTGTCCTTCCTGTTGTTGATCAGAAGCTGTGAGCAGGATAGCCTGGTTAGCAGGGTTCAGCAATTCTTGCTCATCGTGTGGGTGACTGTAACTAATCTGTTCATTTTCCGCTGTTGTTAGCAGTTCCTGGCTCAATGAGCTGTTAAAGTCAGACAACTGATTCTCTTGATTTGTTGTTAAAGATATCAAGTCAATGTTTGGTGGAGGACGCTCACAATGTGATGTAGTTAATACTACTGAAGGTTTATCCAGAGGTGCAAATGTCAAGATTAATGGATTTTCTTCTTCATATTTACATTCATCTTTCAGTACTGAAGTTTGTGGCTCAATAAAATTCAACTCCTTTTTCTTAACATGAGATTTCTGGTGCTTTCTAAGCCTCGAAGTTGTAGTGCAAACATATTCACACTTGTCACATCGCATCAAATCTTTTTCTAATTTTGTTAACTCTGAATCTTCTCCCTGGTTGACATTTTTACCTCTGTGAACAAGCATGTGAGCTCGGAGTCTTGATTTGCGAATACACGAATAACTGCAGTACGGACACTTCTCTGGCTTAGATTTAGTGTGTATAAGTAAGTGCCGTCTGTAATCAGCAAAACGATTGGTTACATACTGGCAATGGTCACACTTAAATTTGAACTGATTAGAATGTGTGAGCAAATGCATCTTCAGTCCAGCTTGTTTTTTAAATTTTGCATCACACTGCTGGCACTGAAATGGAGTTGCTGACTCATGGAGCAGGAGATGAGCCCGCAGTTGAAAGTTTTGTATACAAGAGTAATCGCAGAGTTGGCATTTGATGGGTTTTTGGTCAGCGTGAGTTAGCATGTGAAGCTTGAGGTTCCTCTCTCTGTGGCACCCATAATTGCAATGCACGCACCTAAATTCTTTTTCCTCTGAATGAATCTTGATGTGTTCTTTAAGGTTAGTGGATGTTTTGAACATGGCACAACAAACTTCACATAAAAATTTAGAACGCTGTGCGGGTTTATGTTTACCTCGTCTACCATGACTGGAAGCTGTTTTCAAAACCTCTCTCTGGGAAGATTTAGAGGAAGCTACACAGTTTCTAGAGACTTTCTCTATCGGTTCATTTTCTTGATTATTATAACTGTTCGGACGAAACTTTGATTTGAAATGCTCAACAGCTTTCTCACTTTTTATTTCATTCCTTTTCTGTGGCCTTTGTTTTGATCTTGTCCCCAAACAAGATTTTTTTGGATTCATCCTCCTTTTAAAACTTTCCACATCCAATAATGTAAATCTATTTTGAGCAGGCTGCTCACTATCCTTTTTACTGGTTGAAGAAAACACTGAACTCATGTTTAATTTCAAATTGAATATTTTAGAGGTGGAGACCTTACAAAAAAAGAGGAGACTCTTTAGTCACAGATTTGTGATAGGCAAATATATATTTGGTCCAGAACAAACAATTTTTGCATGTTCAGAAATCTGCAAATCAGAAAAAAACAAATATTGTATTAGATAAAAAAAAATGCCATTTTAATATTTATTTTAGATAAAATTAAATGCTTCCCAAATATCAATTGGCTTGTTAACTTTTTCATAAAGATGACTCAATACGCTAAGGCTTAATTTGTAAACATTTAAATTCACTAGTTTGATGTTTGTTTCATGCTATTTTAGTATTTTTAAGGGCATTTTTGCTTCAGCTGTACAAATTTGTTTAGTTTTGATGATCTTTTACACATTGAACATAAAAATACACTTTTATCCAAACTATATTTAAATACTATTAACTATATAATGTTTAATGTTAATAAACATTGATATACCTCAAAATGTAAAAAAATCCTTTAAAAAAAAAAAATTAAAAAAGCAATTTAAATTTTTAAAATCTTATTTAAATTTAAATTAAATAAATCTGATTTTTTTTTTTTTTACATTTATTTTAAAATCATGGATTTTATCAATCTTGCATAACAGTGAGTTAGACCTAAGACTATGAGTTACTAAAGGTGGACTTGTAACAAACAATGGGTGCAGTGGTACATCTTGGATTTGGATTGGTTCCTCACGATTTCTGGCTCCACTGGTTCTTCTTTAACAACAGTGGGGAGTGGCTCTTCCTTGACTACAGTGACAATAAAATTGTTGGATGGCTGCAGAAGTTGATCAAACGTGAAACTTCCAAGATCTCCAACAGTACAAATTGACCTATTACATTTTAATCTCTAAAATTATAAAACGTTGGTTGATTTTGACTTGACTACTAACTATTAGTATTAGTTAGTATTATTATATAATTGCTATTGTACTTCACTAGTACATCTAATAGTAACTACATCTAAGTAAAAGTTACTGGGCCTACTACTACACTATGCGTTTAGGCTTCGTTACCTTAATACTCAGTAGTTTTCTATGGTTAGAGGTTAATAATAATATAATATAAAATATACGAAGTGAATGGGTGGGGCCAGTTGAGCATAATTGCTGCTTCCTGAGGCTCAATTTGTTATTATGACAATGCACAATACTCAGCTGTTCATGTTTTCGCAATTTTCATCAGCAATATTTTTTTCATATTATTTTTTTTTATTCTTCATTTTTACAACTTTACAATTGTTGCCACAATGTGTAATGTGTAACTAATCAACCTCAGAGCTTTGCTAAATTCAACTCTAAATCAATTTACTGGCTGAAATTATTTCAATAAAGGGGGCAACTGCAGGTTGTTGACACTTCTTGCCGCATTATCTAGAGAGATAGAATAATGTCGGCACGAACTTTATTTATGAGGAAGGAAGCATTGTGCTCTACCCATAGTGAATTATGCTTAGTGCACTTTGCACTCTATATCCTGTAATATGCTTAGGGTGCATATTGCCCATCCCATCACTGGCCTATAACCATAGCTAACTATAACTGTTGTTGTTTCTTGTTTTGTATGGTCTGGTGAAGAAGGCCTCTACTCTAGCTCAATCCCTTTAACTTTAATTGTCCTGTTTTTTCTTTTCAACCCTGAACATAAAATAAATGATTTTGATATCTTGTTCCACTATCATATTATTATTATAAACATGACTATGACTATTCAGACTATTCACCACTACTGGTAATTAAGTTAAGAAGAGGGTAGTCAAGGTTAGTAAGTAAGTAACCTACCTAGTACTCAGTAAAAGTAGCTTTTTTTTAATCTATGTAATGTATGAATGATAATGCCTCTCTCTACTATCTTAATCTTGGAAACTACCTTAGCATTACTTTAACTTCAAATAATTATCTATGTAATTTTAAATTCAAAACATACAGCAATTGAATTTTAGGTGACTTGTTTATTAATGTTTATTATTATAAATAAATGAAAATGACAGGTATAAAAAAAAAATTAATGAGTGAATCTGTTAGTGAGCCTTACTTTGGCAGCGTTTACATGTTATTGACTTACCGGCAAGAAATTTTAAGGAAATATGCTTCCGACATTAAAACAAATTTAACGTTAGAATAAGTCGAAAATGCAACATTGTCCTTTCAATTTCCTTTTTAGTTGGGTTTTTTTTATTTTTTTTTTATAAGATTTTTTAAAATTATGGCTGATTGTCTTTCTTGCATATAAAAAAACTCACTTCCGGTTTCCCACTTGACATTTACCTACCGACATCTGAGATATGTTTAGCCTAAATTAGTTTTTTGTTACTTGTTATTTCGAAAAAAAAAAAAAAACATTTTAAAATTAGTTATTTTTAATGTTAATGTGTTTTTAATTCGATCAGTTTTAGGGGTTTTCTGATGCTTAATTTTAATGTAAACTTACTCCTTCTTTGTCCCATGAACACCTATTTTAACAATTGCAGTTTAAAGAAGACAAATTTTAAGAAACTTATTTCAAGTTATTTGAATGATAAAATAAAAGAAAAATCCTAAGAAAAAGTTCGAAGCAAAGGATCCGAAGAAAAGGGAGATATACATTCCAAATGATACTGGTGCACTTTAGGGGTGCGATTAAAACTTTGAATACCGTACCGTACAAAAGCCCATTTGCAGAATCACTAGCCTATAAATAGGAGGGTTGCCAGAGAACAACTACGTAACACGTTGATCAGGCCTGTCTATTACTTGACTTCTGGCAGATTTTCTGGGGACTCCAACCTGAAAGAAGTCCTAATCCTGGACCTAAACCCCGAAGACTTATATGTGTCTGTTCACTTTTTGTCTCGGCTATACAAGATACATGTGTATATTTAAATACCGGTAAGTTAAATGATCTTTGAGATACGGTACTTTAAATAGAAGAAGTTGGGACAACCCCCCCCCCCCACCATGAATGTATGTAAAAACTCCCTTAGTTACTTAATAATTCAATATCCTTTAAAGATGTAGTTTAAATCCCGGTAAGTTAAATGATCTTTGAGATACTGTACTTTAAATAAAAGAAGTTGGGACAACCCCCCCCCCCCCCACCATGAATGTATGTAAAAACTCCCTTAGTTACTTAATAATTCAATATCCTTTAAAGATGTAGACTTCCAATATATACTAAGGCATAGTGAATAAAATCCCCTATCCGGCAAGATCTAATTCATAGCCTAATACCCTAGGGGTCCCGAGAAATAAATTATTGAGCTTATAAAAAAGCACAAATTGTGTTTTCCTATAGCTAAGCGATGTGCGAGAAGCCTTTAATGCATTGTCATTGTTATGGTAACCTAACCCCTAGGTCAGATTCCATGACAGTGTTGGGTGGTGAGTGCTCTGTTGCGTAAAAGCGTTGCCAACAATGCCCAACGTCTAAAAGAAGTAGGGTAACGAGAGAACAAATATAGTGGAAGGGATGTAAAAGTCTTCTTCAGCAGACAAATGCATGTTAAATTAACGCATCTAAACAGTTATGACACTAGGGTTTGTGTTGCCTACTGCTGCAAACTGATGTATCAATCACTCATTTCAGACTTCCCTCATGTACCACTCCGGTGATACCCTGCTCTGGTAAACCCCTGCTCTGGTGGCACCCTATTCTGGTGGCAACCTGCTCTTGTGTGCATTATGAACTTTAATGACAACGTCTCAATGGAATTATGTTGAATTTTAATCAAGTGACACCCAGACAGTAGTGACCCTCATGACTCTTCTGTTTAAAAATATGTGTGTTGATCTGGAATGATGTCCGGCAAGTAGACTTCTAAAACGCCCATGAAAAATCTGAGGTACTTTGCTGAAACTGCTGGCATTACCATTCAATGTTATGAAGCTACAGTTCATGAGCGGAAGGAATCCTACACTGGCTGCAGGCACAGTCACTATGAAAATTGTTTCACTAAAAGGTGTGACAGAGTTTGCGTACCTTGATAGCAAGGTTACACGAGACTGACATAGTAAAAAAAACTACAAGGAAGTCGATGCTAGGACCAGCGAAACAAATGAGAAATTTGAAATTCAAAGTCTGAGAAATTGAATCGATAAATCGCTTGTTCTGATCTTTTTCTGTGGATCAGTAAGCTGGAGGACCACCACTAACAGTTCCGAAGTTGGTAGTTATTTCCATGGGATATGCAAGACACGTGGAACTATATGGCGAAAGGCAACATAAAGACAAGTATAACTATTTTTGAATCAAATAACCGCCGTCAAATTAAAATATTTTTTTTTATTTAAAAATTATACCGTTGACTATTTTTTTTTAAATACCGTACCTAAAGATATTTTACTTAGCTTTATTTCAGTAAGACTTTCTCTTCACTCGCATTTCCATCTTGTTAAGTGAAATCTTTTTGTTTACATACGTGACATTTGAAGACTTTCTCGTGCGGTGGTGAACGGCTGGAGAACTGGGTCGACTGAGTGCTAATCTACCCTTCTGCACAGTCTTTTTTTTGCATAATGCATTTTTAATTTTTTTTTTAAATGCATCGACTATGGGGCCATCCATAAATAAGGTCACGCAAAGTTTGCCGATTTTGTAACCACCCTTCCCTCCAATATAACGTCACAAACCTCTGCAGGCAAAGCAGCGGGGGGNTGGGGGGGGGGGGGTACAGCATTGCGAAAAATCTAAAGAGTTCCCACCACTCCACCCAACATTTTTCGTTCCATCTCACTTCCCGTGGTAGCCCAAATGTTATGATCCCGTCTCCACATTTCGACACCAATTCTGACGACTGTCAACAGTGGAGTAACAGCGGCTTGGCATTGGGGCAGTTGCCAGTTCAAAAGGGCGCCGCTATAACTCTAACTTTTAATTTTTATTGAAACAAAAGGGTGCCAAAAATAAATTAGCCAAGGGCGTCAAAAACCCAGTTACGCTCCTGACTGTCAAAGTCAGTACGCCCCGATTCTCCTTCTCCGGGGCACCCTGTAACTGTAACTTGATCAGAGGCCATTTCTCGGACCTCGCATACCTGTACTGCATCTCTCGGTGATCGCAGTTTGAAAATAAAATAATTACAATTTTTTACTATAATGTTCCACTTTGAATGTGACTTCACATTGTTTTAACCCGGCTCCCACTCGTCACAAAAATCTGACCACCCCTCTCTCTTTTTTTTAGACGCGTGGCGTCATTTATGAATAGCCTTATGACGTAAAAAGTGTCAATCAAGCCTCTAACAGAAACTCTATTAATGTCTGAGCAATATTACTCTGCCTACTATTATAGCAGCGCATTGTTAAAAATCGCATCCGGAAAATTGATCAAACGAAATTTCGTCGACGGAAAAATCGATCGACGAAAATTTGATAGAACGGAAATTTGTTCGAATTTTTTTGTTTCAGTTCACGTTTCTTTTTGAAATTTTTTTTAAATAGCATTTAAAAAAAAAAAAAAATTAATATAATTTCATAAATTCCCCCACCCCCCCCCCCCCCCCTTTTGATCTTGAATTTTTTTCTTCTGGTTTTGGTAATGTTTCGTTGCTGCATCCATGTACTGGCATCTTTGCAACGGTTGGGGGTATGATGTTGCTATTCAAACAGCTCCTAGCTGATGCCAGGGCAGCCTTGAAGCTTTCGACCGATTTCGAGTTCATAGTGGCATCGTTCAGGTTGTTCCATGCTATTATTGTGCGTGGGAAGAAAGATTGTTGATACCGGTACTGGACTGTGTTGCACTGAGGCACTTTGAAGCATTTGCTATTGTTTCTGGTGTAATTGCTTATGTTTCTAATTTTTTAAACGATTGCTTTAGATTTTGAAGTATATTAATATTTATAAATATTAAACGTAATGTAGTGGATGGTGTTTAAATCTATTTTTAAATTGTTTTTTTTCTAATTTTAAATAAATAGACTATATATTTTAAAAAAAAAACAAATATTTTACAAGGTATTTCTTTAGAAATTAATTTTTAGACATTGCGTGATGCGACTGTACTCCCTTCTGGCCCGGCTTCAATCCATAAAAGTTATGATAATATAATCTTTTCCAAAAAAAATAAAACTGATTTTTATTAAACATTTTTTTTTCCGTTTTGTTTTTCGTTTTAGTTTCAGCATTCAAACTAATTTCACGGGAAATGGGGCAGGTCTAAAGTAATGATCGGCAAACTGGTGTAATAATGGTACACGCTAATCCCTCATTACCAACCCCCTCCAAAAAACAACAACAAACAAACAAACAAAACAACAACAAAAAACAACTTTTGGGCAATAAGTTTTTTTGAAATAAGGGCTTAAAAGACATAAATAAAATTATATTTAAACTCAACGTTGTTTTTTCTTTTCTTTTCTTTTTTTTTCTTTGGAAGAAACGAAACAATTTTTGTCTTGTCAAACTGCATCTGGCTAGTGTTATAAAGAAAAAAAAAACTAGATTTTGTGGTTACTAGTGGCTTGGTAGCTCACATAAACACATTTCTCGTCTTGTATATGTCATTTTTGCCTTGTCGTCTATTTTATCTTATGCTCAGCGGCGTCACTAGAAATTATGGTCCCACCCAGTGCGATAAACTCGTGTTGAAAACCCATCCAGACTACTGCACGGATTTCCTCCGCGTCGGTCTGCTCACGACCAACGAGAACTCTAGTGGGTCAAGGTGACCTCCCATGAGGGTGTAACTAGTGCGGTCCGCAACCTACATCCTTAGTGACGCTACTGCTTATGTTTATAATTTATGCTGAAACTGAAAACGTCAAGAGATCCAAAGGTTTTCAAAATTGCTCACAATCACAAGGAGGCAGCCAAAAAGTTGCAACTAACTTCGCGAACAAGATTTTTTTTCAACAAAGCATAGGAATGAATGATTTAACTCGAAAGAGTTAGCCAACTTTCTCTGATTTGAAGAATTTTCTTCTTTTTCTATATTTGGAGGCTCCACGATCAATGTATTGACCATTCTGGCTCCTAATCCCCATGAATCAGCCCCAGTTTAGATGCCATTGTTTTGTATAAAAATGAAACATCATCTCTACAAAGTTAGAATAGAACAATTTTTTCAAATAAATCTATGTGTTCAATAATGAATATTGTATTTATTAATTTCTTTTATCGAATTTATTATGTAATTTTTATAATTTTAATTTCATTCTCCGTTTAAATATAACTAGTCTAAGTTTCAATACGCCATTTGAATTTGAATACTGGGAGTAAAGATTTACTTCCTTCAAGTCGGTGTTAGTGTTAACAATTATATTTATATTTTGAGGTAATGGCTAATTAAGTTCGCAGACCCCTGGTCTACAAAGAGGTTTACGTCATTAAAAAAGGGGGGTGGGAAAAAAAAGGGGGGTGGGTGGGAAGGGTGTTTGTGTTGTGTGCAATATGACATCCAATTCCAATCCAGTGGATTGGATGAAGACCCGATAAAATATATTGGAATATGTATGTTTGTTATCATAACCAACAAAACTGTCTTTTTCGGATGCATTATCTTTCATGAATAAAAAAAAAAAATACATGTCGGGCATTATAAATGATAATAGTTTGTATATACCGGTAATTTTAAATTTAATTTCAATACCGGCTATACTTTATTTATTATATTTATATACTTTTAAAAAATAGTATTAAAAGTATTGCAATTAAAGTTAATAATAAATACGCCTATGTACTTTGGTGATTCCTGAAGTGTCCATTTGTAATCATGTATCACAACAATATTTTATACATCACAGAAATATAAAATATTAATAATAACAAAATTGATCACGTCTGACAGAAGTTGCTTATTAGGCATTCCAAGAATTTCACTTTCAGTGACATGGAAAAAAATAGAAACGGAATGTAAAATAAATAATATTTTAAAACGATTTTGGCCAGAAGACGAATCACAAAAACTGGCCGAGAGCTGCGCATGCGCTATTCTATTTTTGTAAAATTGCCGAAGTGGACGGGAAAAAATACCTGAAGTTATTCTGAATTTATTAAGTATTTTAGTATTTTAAATAGATAAATATTTTGTTATAACCTAAAACTTATTAGTTAGTTATTTTCGTTGAAACAGCTATTGACTTTAAATATATATAACTGAATTTCGTCAATCGCAATCTGACTATCCGATTTGTTTCATTGGCTTAAAAGTGTAATTTATGTGGCAACCCTGCCTGATTTCCGTATCACGCTGGCCCTTTTGATGTGGCCGCCTTCTTGTGTCACTTTGTCCATACAAATTTGCTTGAACTTTTAGGAAAATCCTGGATAAGGTAAACAACATTTATATTTATTGCCGTAATTCTTTCCCCCAAGTAATAAAATGGTGTAAAAAGAGGCATATGAACGTAATATTATTAATAGAGCATGTTGATTTCTAATGTTAGTTTTTCCAAAGTCACAACAGTCACAGACGAAAGACTTAGCGCTTTGGCACGCCATTTTGCCTGGACCACCGCCCATTGCTTAATAAGTTAGTTAAAATGAAACAAACCAGGAACGTTTTAGATTTTTTTTTTTTTTGATGTGCCTATTGGTATAATATATTATGTATATATAAATAAATTATAAATATTTTGCGCAGAAGAAACCAGTTTTTTTTTAAATTGATAATACCAAAATAATATAAGCAAATTAATATATGATAATTGAATTTGATATAATATATGATATTATGAAATAGGCATAGGACCTATAAAATATATAATATTGAATTATAATTATTATTAACCAGTAAATAGTACTAAGTGGGTACTTTGAGACAGAAGAAACTTTTAATTTTTAAATATTGTCTGATGGCCATAAATATAAATTAAATCATACATAAAATTTATTAAAGGGAAATCTATTTGAAAGTAGCAATGCAAATTCAAACATTAATATTTCAATCAGAATTCAGAATAGACTTAGTTAACTCAGTACTCTGTCTTACTCCTACGCCTACACTCTATTATCTATACATTAATAGTAGTAATACTACTTACTACTAATACGGTATTATTAAACTGCTGGTAGTCCATAGGCTCTTACTCCACTTCATTTCACCTACAAGTAATTCAACTACAGTCAGGGAAATTTAATAACATCAAAGAGTACAGAGACTATTTGAAAGTTATTGTCATTGTAAAAATAAATCTTATCTTCTGTCAGTGTTACGGTGTTCCAATCAATTGCAGTGTCAGTGAATCTCTAGTCTCCTAATTATCAATAAATTAAACTTATTATACACTGATTATATATAGTTAGTATAGTTAGTATGTCTAACTAATCTATCTATTATCATAAACAGTATCTACTAAAGAGGTAATGGAAACTTGTATTAAAGTTTAAGGAATCAAGGCCTCTTTAAACAATATTTTGGTTCATATATAATATTATATACCTATTAAGACTCTTAATAAGAGTTGTAAAGTTCTATGTATTTTTTAATATTTGGTTTATTATTCTTATATTTTTCAAATCCTTCGTAGGTCAGTTCACATTCATTATTATCACCACTTGAAATTGGAAGTTTTACTGCATTTAATTGACTTGAAACTGGAGCTGATGTACAGATCAGAATAAATACAGTCTTCTGTGCTGATTTAAAAAATGAATCCAGTCGGCACCAATAGCATTACTATTTGTTTGCCTCCTTCACTGAGTCTGTCTGAGATAAATGCAGACAACCTCAGAAATGTTGTGGAGGCAGCATGTCAAAACTCACATGAGGCTTTTAGTCAGGATGGTGAAATCATCCTGTATGTCAAAGAGCAAGACATGGACCTTGATCAACAATATATTTATGAACCAGTTAGCCAGGCTTTGTTTCAAGAGAAGATAGATCAAGGCATGCTTGAAGATTCGATGGGAGAAGTCAGCGATTCCACATTAATCCAGCTCCATGAGTCTGGATTACTTCCACAAGAGGCAATCATGATGCCAGTCCAGGATACTTTGTCAGAGACAGATGCCAGTTTGATTCATGGGCATGAAATGGTTCAACATCTTGCCACTGCCCAGCTTAGCAGCAATATTCAACATATCAATATCCAACAAGGGAGCACAGCTCCTCAAATCAGTAATGTCCAACAGATTGGCATTGCCCCTCAAGTTAATACTGCTCAACAAATCAATGAGTCTATTCCGACACAAATTCAAGAGAAAAGGTTTGTTTTTCCTACCCTTATGAAAGCACCAACATTGGTGCAAGAACCTAAATCATCCATTACTACGCTCCCCTTTAATAATGAACCTTCCAAAAAAATAGTTTCACCCAAAGTAGAAATTGAACAAGAGGAAGATGATGATACAGGAATGAAGTTTGATTATGAAAAACTTAAAAAGCAGAAACTGACGGGACCTCAGGGGTCAAAGATATTTGGTTGCAATGTTTGCTCATATAGATCTGCTACCAGAACTCTGTTGCGGCAACATATGATTATTCACGCGGATAAAAAGTTCCAGTGCAAGGAGTGTAAGTACAGATGCCACACAGCTAGTCACTTGAAACGTCATATGTTCACCCATTCAGACAGCAAACCAATTCTTTGCTCACAGTGTGGCTACTCATGCACACAAAACTTTCAGATGAAGGCTCACCTCATACAGCATGAAACAGATACCCCATTTGTTTGCAAAATATGCAATGCAGTGTATAAGAAAGAAGAGAGCCTTAAGGTTCATATGTTAGGTCATGAAAATGTAACAAAGTTTCGATGCACTCAATGTAACTATGCTGGTAACCGTTATGGGGATTTCAAAAGACATGTGCTTACGCACTCAACTGAAAAACCTTTAAAATGTACCATCTGCAGCTACACATGTATTCGACAATGGAGACTGAAAGCACATATGAAGATTCATTCTCAAGATAAACCTCTCCTGCATTGTGATGTATGTGAATTCACCTGCCTAAGTGCACCACGACTTAAGGATCATAAGGTTATTCACACCAATGAGGGTGTTCTTCGTTGCGAATTGTGCCCATTTTTCTGCACTTCACCAGCACGATTAAAAAGACATGTTAAAGTGCATTTAACGGCACCTCAGAAAACATACACAGGTACAACATTCCCCCCAGCTTACCAACAAAAGTTAGAATTAGAGCAAGCAGAGGCAGAAGCTGAAGCAAATACACAAACAACTTTTGTGAGCATTCCACCTTCTCAGACAATGGAAATGGAAGCAGACTGGGGAGCTGAACAAATGGATGAAGATCAATTCAATGCATTTGCTGCCTTTGCTGGGAAAACTTCTGGGGAGACCTACACAATCACAACAACTGATGGAGGCCAGACCTACATTATACAAACAGATTCTCCAGAACAATTTGCCCAGCAGCTAGCGCAAGCACAGTTTGAACAAGTGCAGCAAATAGAAACACTGCAAGATCAAACCCCACATTATCATGAAATCCAGGATATCAAACCCAGTCCCTCAAAACTTAAGGCCATGTCGAATGGAGAGGTTCCAATTGAGAAGAAACCACCTATTAACCATTCAAAATCTAAGAGGTTCCATTGTGATCAGTGTGACTTTTCTTGTGATTACAAGTCGACTTTTTCAGCTCACCAAAAGAAACATTCTACCATCAAGAAGTACAAATGTGCTCATTGTGACTACATGTGTAATGACACATCACGAATGAAAGATCATCTTCTCTGTCATACATCTGAGAAGTTGTTTACTTGTATGCTTTGTGACTTTTCTTGCAAGCGTAAAATGGGTCTCAAAGACCACATGAAAGTGCACACTGGGGAAAAACCCTACCAGTGCAAAGAGTGTGATTACACCTGCCGCTCATCTGAAGGCCTCAAATCTCATATGTCGAAACATTATGGTGTTAAACCATATACCTGTGATGTTTGTGGACAAGGCTGCTCATCTGCTTATCTTTTGAAAAAACACAAGTTTGTCCATGGTGAAAAGCCATTGCAATGTAACTTCTGTGACTACAAATGTATTCAGAAGAAACAGCTGACAAATCACTTGCTACAGCACAAATACCAGCATCCGTTCTGCTGCAGTTTGTGCAGTGCCACTTACAAAAAGGAGGAGAGTTTGAAAATTCACATGATGTCCCACCAGAACATAAGAAAATTTGCGTGTAACTTATGTAACTATGCTGGTAACAGATCAGCAGACTTCCGAAGACATATGCTGACCCACTCGACATCAAAACCTCTTCAGTGTCCACAGTGCTCATACTCTTGCATACGGCAGTCTCGTTTAAAGGCCCACATGTTAATCCATTCACAAGAGAAAAACTTGAACCGTAAACCTGGTGCTCTGCCCAAGGCCTACCGCTGTGCTTTCTGTGATTTCTCCTGCACTCGTACCTCTAGGCTTAAATCTCATTTATCAAAGGTGCACCTTGACTTACCTGAAAATGTCATTTTTAGCATAGACTTAAAGCAGATAGAACCTCAATAGTTTTTTTGTGATTTCATTTACAGATTTATTTAAAATTTCAGTTTGAAGTCTTAGTTAGCACTGATGTTTAAACAGGAGTGAACATTCCCTGTCCATCATATAGAATATGCTAAAAATAAAATGGAGATAAGTTAAGATTAATTTTAAAGTCTTCAGTATTATTTGTGTCAAGTTACAGTGCCCCAGACTTCAATTCTTAATGAAGATTTTGTCATTAGTTTGGAATTATTTCACTTACAACCTTGGAGGGGATATCATTGTCCCTAGAGTGTTTCCTGATGTCATTTTACTAGTATTCCATGAAATTATCATATCCGGCAACAGAATCTAGCAGGTCACAGTTACCCGGTACTAAAAGTCAAATTATTTGTCAGATTCCTATCACATTGTACAGATATCACAATGTTTCTTCTTTCTATTCTTTTAATAGTGGTTTTTCATCAGTGATGTCTGTCACTGAACATCACCATGTAACAGTGCTTTATCTTAAACTTGTTTCTTGGATTCTATAGAACTTAAAAGATACAAAACTGTCTGCCACAATTAAGTACCGGTACATCACTTTTCTAGTATCTAATACCCGGTACTTACCATTTTGCTGCAATTAGCAATTTGTTAAAAAAAATACTGTTCTTAAATCCTTAATAGCTACATTCTCTTAGAGCCAAACATTGCAGACTATCATCAGAACAGTTATTACTTTGTTGTACCTTCTGAAGCATTTTGCAACAGTATTTTATAAATAAAACTAGTGTGCAAATAAAACTCAATCAGCTTGTGACTTACCGATGCTTCTATTAGATTACAGACATTGACACTAAGTCTCCTCAGCTGAAATTTGTTTTTTTAACGTTATTACAAAATGAACTGTTGTGTTTTATTGATGGTTCTAAATTTTTGTTCTTTGAAATATAGCTCTAATCTAATATATTTGTGACATCCTCATGATCATGTTAAGCATACCCCATTTTAGCTCTTAAATAAATAAGCAACTATATTTATTGTATAAAATGTTAAATTTTTCATTAAAATTAAACGATCATCTGTTAACTGTAGTTGAGTGGGAGCACAATGAGTAGCAGAAATCAAACTATATTTGTATATGTCTCTAAGTCTAATTATTTCTTTGCTTTTTGAAGAATTAGAAAATACAGGTAGTTACTTTTGAGTTCTGTTACCGGTACAAAAGTATAGGAGCTTCTCTTGTTTTTCCATACAGCTACGACACATAACTCTTTACATATAGGGCAGTCATTTCTCATGTAGTAACATTTTGATACTGGCAAAATGCCATTATGTCATCAGCTTACAATCCTTGTGTGACAGACATGCATCCTTGTACATTATCAGACTTGACACCTGATTTTTTAAGGTTGACAGGGACTATAATAAATGGAATAATTTATACATTATTATTATGCTGATTGAAATTGATGTACTCCTATTAATTTAAAAAAAAAAAAACAGTGTAAATTTGGTTGTCTGCAATATTATGTGTCCCTTTGAGATGTTGAAAAATGTCCTTATCTTTGTATAGGTACGTTGATATATTAGTTTTTAATAAATCTCAACACATTTCAGTTAACCGGAACTCAAGTTAAAGATCTACCCTATTGGAGATTTCTTATAGTTGCTTTGTATTAGTGTTTAGCATATCTCAATAAGGAAATTAAAATGTAAATGATTTTGTATATTTATTTCCATTATTTTCTATTGGTTTCTTCTGCTCTTTTGATTTATGAGTTTTCTTTAAAAATTAAATTATTAAACACTTATTTAAATCGATGCCTTAGTTTTTAATAGATTTGTTTATGTATATTTATAAGTATATGTTCCATAGACAACCGGTAGCACCAAGTCCAATAGACCACTACTATTAAGTCCTCACTATTTCTGTCAAATAGGATTGAGATTTAAATCCATCAATTTAAATCGGACCAATAAAAATCATTTAAATTTTAAAAATTGATTTTGACCTATTCAAATTGATTTAAATGGGCTGTCTGAAATTAATGTCTGTCTTTTACGTATTATCCAATTAACGTTATTTCTTAATATATTAATTATGATTGCAACTATGCTAAATAAAACCCAAGCCCCACCCATTGCAAAATGTCCATTGGACACTTTGTCATTGCTTCATGAAGGTAGCTGCAGTATATTTGTTTAGTAGGAGGCCATCCTTAGGTGACATGCATCTAGATTGGGGGGTGCAAAACAGACATGTGAGAGGGAGGGGGCAGATCATGTAAAGTTAAAATTTAAATAAAGAAAAAGACAAATTTGTATAGCAATTGAATACTTTATTGAACAAAACAAAAAATATTGCATTGTTACTGTTATGAGAAAGGGGTGAAAAACAGACAAGAGTTGCCCCAGCAAATGAAGTACTGAGTTGCCTCACTAATTGAGGTAAAGAGTTGTCCCACTAATTGAGGCAAAGAGTTGCCACAGCAATGGAAGTATTGAATTGCCCCAGCATGGAAGTATTTTGGAAGTACTGAATTGCCCCAGTAATCGAGGTACTGAGTTGCTCCAGCAATGGAGGTACCGAGTTGCCCCAAAATACAATGGCATACAGAGTTGCCCTAGCAAGGGAGCTAGGCAGCCGTCTATAATGTGAAGCAATGCAATAAAAAAAAGATGTGTAAGAGAATCCTGCATGAGGAAATAAATAAATTATATTAACAATGTATTTTTACCTGGTGAATTGTTCTATACAACAATGCACCGGTACTTATGAAAATTATTGTGACCACAAAAATCAACAACTGCAAATTCACACACATTTATATGGCTAAAAAAGTTAAGTTAAAAAATAATAATAATTTAATCTGAACAAAGCGAAATGTGTAAATGGATATGCAACAATTAAAAAAAAAGTTGAATGAAAAACTTGTTGAATAGTTATCAGTAAATTATTAAGTACCGTACGGTAAGCAAAATCAGCAGTTCTTAAATTTAAAAAATTTACAAAGTAAGAACGATTAACTCACCCATCAAATAAATAATAATTCAATTACAATGCCACCCCAAGGACATGTGAAAATTACAAAACTAAAACATTATATTTAAAAAGTTTAAGGGAAAGCTTAGAAAACTAGATTACTTTATTATTATTACCAGTTTAAATGATTTGGCGAAAGATGATTTGAGATGGTCATAATTATGTGTTATGGTTCTCTACTTTCATAAGAAATAATTAGAGGAAAATATTGAATCAACCAAGTTTAAGTACGGCACAAACAAAATCTGCTCCTTTTTAGGTTGGTTTAATGTCAACTGTTCAAATGAAATAAAATAAATGAGTTAATTCTATGGCTGTTGTGAACGTTGAGCAGCTCGTCTCATAAGACGAACCGATCTTCTTGGCTGCTGGCCCACCACCTCCTTCTTCTTCTTTCTGTCCTTTGATTCTGATGATTTGCTTTTCAAAACTATACGATGTCGTGGTGTGTACAACTGATTATATGAGCAAACCATAATCCCACTACACCGTTTCTTGTAGTCACAAGCTCTGAAATTTTAAAAAGAATATGATAAGTTTTTATACTGTATGACAATGAAGATAAGAAGTCAACATAGCTATTAACTGGTACTAAGTTGTACACCATATAAATGCGTCCTTTGGGGGTTTCGATGGATGTGTCTCGATGCATAGCGACACACCTCTCTTATTTTTAGTTTAATATAGCAATGAAATCTCACCTCCCTTGAGACTTCTGCGTGATTTTAATTTAAAAACCGGAAGTTTTTATCTTGTTTCACTTTAAAACTACATGTGCTTTAGTACGGCAGGTCTATTTCTAGCATTTGTTTGTCTGAGGTGCCAAAAATCAACTTTTTGGCCATTGTTCATTATTTTTTCGACGCTACCGGTAACGTTATATTTTTTTAACAATTTAACCTTATTCATTTTTTGATGCTTTCGTCTTTAATTCATTAACATTTATTAACATTTAGCAGCTTTAAAAAGTATTTTAAAAAATTGACAAAACCAAGTTGCTTCCTTTTTCTCATGAAAATAAATTAAGTACGGAAGGAGCACTGCCGGAGGGAACGAGTTAAAAAATAGATGACATGACTAAATCACACAATTAAATAAAATAAACTAGCTACCAGTACCTGAGATGGTCCTCGACCTCCCATTCCCACATTGTATGTTTACAGCCCAACACTTTGTTTGGGCATTCAGCGATGCCAATAATTTTCTGCATCTGAATTGAATCATCTGAAACTTTAGGTCTGAAAACAGAAAAAACAACAATGATTTCAAAATTTCTCTAACGTTCTAAATTTAGGTAAAAATATTTTTAATATGAAACAAGTGCATTCATTTACTGAAGATAAATTAACACATAAATGATACCCAAAAAAAAAAAAAAAAAAAAAAAAAAAAAAAAAAATAAAAAAAAAAAAAAAAAAAAACAAAAAAAAAAAAAAAAAAAATAAATAAAAAAATAAAAAAAAAAAAAAAAAAAAAAAAAAAAACAAAAAAAAAAAAAAAAAAAAAAAAAAAGCTTGAAACTTGAAAAAAAAAAAATGTGATCCAGTTCCGGTACTGAGCTAGTGAGTGACAAAATGCATCAACAATTAAACCAACAAAAAGAGGGTATTAGTATAAACCAGCTTTAACATTTTGAGTATACCATTAGCATTACCAAAAGCTGAAATCCATCTCTTTTATAAAATTTGGGAAGTGGTCATAATTTGGATGCCGCAACTTAGAAAAACAATTTAACATCAAATTAATCTAACTGTAGTGCCTAACTCATAATTTAATAGCAAATCCATTTACTTTCAATACCATTAACAAGCAAATTTAATGTGTAGATTTTGCAGCACACAAAAATGTGTACTTAAAATGTTCCACACATAATTTTCTGCACACATTACCTCTAAAACAATCAGAGGGAACATTGATTAAAAGGAATGTTTAGGATTGGATTATAGAAGAATAAAAATTGTCTCTGAAAAGATATAGAGCACAAGACACGCAAAGAAGTACAGTATTAAAATAAAGTATTAACTGCCATATGCCAGTGTTAAGTTTAATTTTAAATAAAATGGAGTGTAATAATTATTTTATTTATTTTTTTATCCTATTAATTTATTTTATCCTACTCACCGAACCAAAGGAAAACTGTTTGGTCTTGCACACATAGGACATTTATTCATACTTTCACGAAGAACTGAATTTATGTAAAGACAATCGGCACAGAATCTATGTTGACAGTGACCATAAACCATTTCTAATTTAGGCTCCATACAAATAACACAGTTAAACCTGCAAAGAAGTCAAGTATGAAATTACAAACAAGTCACATGACAAAGAACATGCATAATTAATAATTTATTTTAAGTCAATTTAATTTCCATTAGTTATTATATTTTGAAATTTCTTTATATTAAAGAACTTGTTGCCATATAACAAGACGTCATATCAGATATGGCTTATGAGCAGAAGTTGACCAACCCTTGTTAAAGATACTCTTGGTTTACTAGTACTAGTACAGTTAATGTGTAGTCTTATTAACTCTAGTGTTTTGAGAAGGGCTTGTAGTTGTAGCATAGGAAGTAATTTGATAGTAATTGGCTAATGACTAAATTTGTAAAATAAAATTTAAAATTAAAAAACCAGTAGTGATCTAGATACCGGTAAACGTTTTTGATTGCTATAGTTTTTTTTTTGGTCAGTCTTAAAAATTAATGTCATTTAGAAGAGTTAGGAGATCTTGTCATATGTAAATTCCATTTCTTTAAAAAACTGCACCAGCCAGCCTTAACTTTTGTTTTACTGCTGTGGAATGGGGGTTCCTTTATCTTGAATAAAAGAAAAACATGAGAAGATAAGTACTTGTAGCTTAAATTTTAAAAAATTGAACACTGTAGTGTAGTGACTATCACTATCATTCATTTTCATTGGACAATATTTCTTTCACATATCAATGAATTTGAACTTTTCCCACAACAGAGACAACAGCAGTACTTTCAACATAGTAGGGTGACATTTCACTCACATTTCCATATGTTCACCTACAGACCAATTTAAAACATTGTGTGAGCCTTTTGCTGCATAAGTTATAAGGTTATTCATAATACTTTATTTTATTTTGAATCCTTTCCAAATCAGCTGAGGTTAGACTTCGAATGCTTTAAACTTTTAAAACTTTAAGTTTAAGTCGTTTTAGTGTCAAGGTTGAGACTCAGCCTTAATATCTCGATATATATAATTGGCCAGAAACTAGGGCTAGCAAGACGGTGGCGAAGGCTATATATAGATACGCCAGAGCAAGCAAGACGCAGGCAAACCCTCCTTTCCCTTGCCTGCCCATAGTTGTTCTCGAGACATGCGCACTGCGGTGGAGCTACCGCCCCCCCTCCTGCACCACCCTTGCTTGCCAGCCAAGCGCACACCTCAACAAGCTCGCTGCTATATTTATAGAGTTCATGGGCCGGAAATAAAAAGTGTGCAGTGACGTATCATGGATTGGGGGGGGGGGGGGGGGTTAAGCAAAATTGGCATTCTTAAATGTGCGTAACTCGAATTCACGTTTTTGTCAAGCACGTAACTTTAGTAGATGGGAAGTTCATGCATTGCTGTCGCCAATGTTTGGCGGGCTATATCCACCCTCCCTTGCCAGCCATGCGCACACCCCAACAAGCTCGCAGGGTATGCTACGCATTGCTTCCTTCTAGAATGCATTATTGCTCAACAGTAACACTCACTTTGTTTTGGTAATATACCGGTACCCGAGTATTTTTTTCTATTATTTGTTTGCAAGATACTCAATACATTACTTGGTAGAGAAATAGATTTTAAAATTAATTAACAATAGCTTTGACTTTAAATCATTCGGGGTCACGTGACAAAGCTGACGGACAATATCTCGGTGGTCATGTGCTTTGGTCGCTGGACGAATATCTCGATAAGTATTCTTACGGCGGTCATGTAACTTGGTCGCCGGATAGCTAGTGCTGGAGATATACGTCCGGCCGCGCCGGACATGTAGACACTGCCTTAAAAATTATAGGCATGATATAGAAGAAAATAGTTAGCCTATACTATCAGAGTCACTTTCAAAAATTAGAATAAGAGTAAGAGGTGGCAAAGATCCCGTCCCAATGATATTATTATAATATGTATGTTTCAAGTAAGTCACTCAAAAAGTCATTCACCGTGTCACTATTATTCTTTACTGTATTATGACTATTACTATTATGTATATAGTATAACCTTAACTTAGACTTAACTGTCCTTAGCCTTAACTTTAACACTTCCATAGTTGACTTCTGATTCTGACTGTTACATGTACTGTATTATTTTCACTGAATCCTTATAAGTACTTAGGAATTAGTCTTAGTACTGCAGTCTGCAAGTCAATTGAAAGTGCTTAACTTTTGATTTTGGCATGCGTTTGATTTTTTGTTTGTTTATTAATAATTAATTAATTAATGTTTATTAATAGTTAATTTAATAGTTTTAGTTTCAGTCTACTCACCTCATTTCATAATTAACCTGTGAGTCTGACATGATTTTAATGTTATCTATATTTAACTTATTCATTGTCAATTAGTTTGTCTAACACAAAATTATTACTTTGTTGGTAGTCTAATAGACCGCCAAATACGACTAAAAATAAGTTATTAAAAAAAGTGGAGACAGACACTCTTTGACTACAATACAAAAGTGTATGACGCGCGCTTTGGGTCATGTGACATACACGTTTCCGTCGGTGTAGAGTCAAACTTAATGTACGGTAATTGGTAAAATCAAGACTCGAAATTGTCTGTCTCCGACGTTTTTGGTCACATTTTCAATTTGAGGAAGAATAAATTGAGGAGAGCACACACAACCCACTTCACTCGAAGTAAATTTGTATTTATTTCTTAGCAAATACATTGCAACATGTATTATCAAGTGCGGGTTTACATGAGTGTCAAACGAATAACAGAACACATGTTACAAAAGAATAATTATGCTTACCATATTAATAAAATAAGCACCACGCAATCTATATTAAAGAGCTTGGTTGGGTTGAGTTTTCTTAATAACTAGAATAAATGACCCGATGTTATCGGGATAATAATGGTAAGTCATAGTTTCTAACTGTCATTGCAAAAACTCATCACAATTCATAACTTTTAAAATGAAATGATATTTACGTTTCTAACATCATTAAGTTTTGAGAAATGTGTATCTGCTATATATGATAGCGTATCCTACACCCTTTCACGATCCTAAACTACTTTTCCCCCTCTAAACATGACCTTAAATTATCCAGTCTAAATTATCACTAATTATATCACTTTTGTCACTAAAGAAACTAATTGAGTGACAATTACTACGCTAGAGAAATACTTTTAGATTTACCCCTTTTCGAGCCCTTGAATTACAACTTTTTTCTCTAAAAATTTTTAAAAAACCTAATCTTAAATTTACAACAAAAACTTTATATATAATTTATAATATAAATATATTTTGTATTACAGGAATTCGATATATATTGATATCTTCATAAAAAAATTGACACATATTTTTTCAATTTTTTAAAATTATACATTATCAAAAAATCGTAAAATAAAGTATTCTTTATCTAAGAAGAATCTCGCAACTGTTTTTCACGACTATATCAGATTTCACTGTCTATATATTTAAAAAAAAATTAATCTCATAAAAATACACAACTCTTTACTTTTGCCAAGTACCAAAAAAATAAATTTTCATTTAAAAAAAAAAAAAAAAAAAAAAAAAAAAAAAATTTTAATTAAAAAAAAAAAAAAAAAAAAAAAAAAAGGAAATATTAACCCATCTTCAGTTGTCAAAGTTTAATTTTCAAGTGTGTAAAATGATTGGGTTTTGATATTCATATTCTTTGTAAAAAGATAATTTAACATCTCTTTTTTTCACAAATGTAATACCATAGGATTTAAATATATTGTCATCCAAGTAAACATGTACACATCCTATTTCCTACCTCTGATATGTATGTACCCAAGAAGGTTAATTATTTTTCAAAATCATTCCCTTATTTTGGGACGTATCTTGTATTGTCTTGGGCAAAATGAACATCCCAATATTTGTAAAATGAGAATTTAACTACTCTTTTTTCACAAATGTAATACCATAGGATTTAAATATATTGTCATTTACGTAAAAATGTACACATCCTATTTCCTACCTCTGATATGAATGTACCCAAGAAAACTAATTATTTATCAAATTCATTCCTTTATTTTGAGCGTTATCTTGTGCTGCATTGAGCAAAATAAACATACACATATTTGTAAAAAGAGAATGCAAAATCTCTTTTTTCACAAATGTAATACCATAAGGATTTAAATATATTGTCATCCACGTAAAAATGTACACATCCTACTTCCTACCTCCGATATGCATGTACTCAAGAAGGTTAATTATTTATCAAAATCATTCCTTTATTTTGAGACTTATCTTGTTCTGCCTGGGGCAAAGTGACCAACCCCTTCCCCACTCAGAATTAAATAAATTTAGAAAATCTTCCACCGGATTGTAGTCCTTTCCATACCCAAATTAACATCTTTAGCACTTCATATGGTTCGTTCTTATTTGTATGAGGTATAAGTGGATTAATGAATGCTATTTAGCTATGGAATTGCGCTGCACTGATTGTCTTAAACCGCATTTTCTTATTAGAATTATATTTAAAGGTTAGTTTTTACACGTTATGAATTTAATAAAAGTATATTTTTTGAACCAAAACAGGCAAAACTTTTTAAATGTTAAAATATACAAATCAAAAATGTGTGTGTGTGTTTTATTAACAATTTAAAAAGCAATCAATGGTATTTATTAAATTTTACTTTTAAGAAGGGAAAATACTTAATCAGTTTTGTCACGTGCGGTTATTAAATTTAAAGAAACCTAAGAGTTTTGGGGAAATAGCCTTTTCGCGCTATGACGTCATTTGCATGATTATTTAGATCAAATTAATTTTAATTTTAATTCGCAATATTAACAACGCACTAAAAACAACTGATGCTTGGGTTTCCCCGATAAATGTGATTACGGTGTAAATCTTTGATCATGATTATTTATTTATTTTATTTTTTTTCATCACTTTCAAACACATAAAATGCTTAAAATAGTTCCTTAGTTGATACTATGAATGTATTTGTAATTTGTAATAATAATGCTTAAACTTTTACAAAAATAAAAGCGGATTTAAAATATTTTTTGGCGCATGTAAATTTATTCGATTTCCGTAAAATAATAAAAGTATCTCACCTTTAGCGTCGTTATGTGACTCTAGCTCATTCTTATATATAATATATATCACAAGTGTTCCCATTTGAGACAACGTTTGTACTGTGAAGACCAATATGACTATGTCGGAAGGAATGAGAATTTCGCGTTCAAATGCTGGATACTCTCTGAAACCTTTTTGAAGATGCAGTAGGAAGAACCCAGCCGCCAAAAAAACAAAAAAAAACAACAAAAAAAAACCCCTCACAAATAAACGCTCCTGTTCTTCCATCAAAAGGGATATTTTTTCAAGAACTGGGAATAAGTAAAGATTTGATGCATATCTTTATTCATCAGCTTGCAATCATCAATGCGCTATAGACAAGAACTGCTGCACCTATCGTCCTCTCCTACGAAATCAGTTTGCAAGAGTTTAGATTACTTTTGTTGAAAATGTAAAAAAAAACACACACACACACACAAAAAAAAAAAAAAGAGAAAAAAATACTCCGACTAGTTCGGTACACATAACATATTATCTTGAACGTTTAAAACAGTTTGCAAGAGTTTAAATTACTTTTGTTAAAAATGTAAAAAAAAACACACACACACACAAAAAAAAAAAAAAAAAGAGAAAAAAATACTCCGACTAGTTCGGTACACATAACATATTATCTTGAACGTTGACATATGGTATAAAATCTTCCTACCTCATTTCAAGTAGGTAACTCCGACATACGGTTTACACTCTCTGCTAGGAATCTTGGTTATATTCTTTCTAACAACATGTCCCTCACATTTGTCGTTCAGCATACACCACTATCCGTCAGATCAGCTCCATACGCCACTACCTCACAGTTAGCGCTACAAAAACTCTAGTCTATGCTCTTGTTCTCTCTCGTCTTGACTATTGCAAATCTCTTCTGTCAGGTTCACCAAAACACTGCATAGAAAAACTGCAGAAAGTTCAAAACTCAGCTTCTAGGCTAGTTTTGAAGGCAAAAAAAAACGTGATCACGTCCAACCACTACCCCACTCCCTTCATTGGCTCCCTATACATGCATGCATTGACTACAAGTTGTCTGTTCTCTGTCACAACTGTTTCTTGGATTCTTGCCCTTCCTATCTAACCGAACTTCTTTCTGTCCATTCACCCCTTCGACAGCTTCGCTCCTCTGCAGACACGCGTATTCTGTCCATTCCCAAGAAACACACTAAAACATATGGTGAACGATCTTTCTCTTTCTGCGCCCCCAAACAATGGAATTCTTTGCCATTACACATACGCAATTTACCAACCACCCAGGCCTTCAAAACTGCACTCAAAACACATCTTTTTAAATTATGCTACCCTGAGTGATTCCCCTCCTCTGACCGATAAATGATCTTGTTGGCTGCCGTCCATGGTTTGCCTTGTAAAAGTTATGTGGTGGGGTGGGTGAATATACATTTTTTTTTTGCTGTTCTTTATTTCATAAATGTATTTTATTTTAATGTCATGATTATGTCTCTTTTGATAAAAAATTTTATGTACAGCGCGGTGAGCCCAGCCAATAGGCTGGGGTACCGCGCTATATAAGACCCCTTATTATTATTATTATAAAATAGCTTTTTCTAGAATCTCTTTCGGATCGAATGACGTCATTTGAAAAAAACAACATTTTAACTTCTGAATAAGGTCCATACTCTTCTGTCTGATTGTTCACTAACAAATGATCTGTAAGTGGGGCGCTGCACTCAACTCTAGCACTAAAACACATGCCAAGATCTTGTGCCATCTCCTTTAGGGCGCTGCATTCATTGAAGTGTTGACACAAAGCACCGATAACGTTTCTCTTCTTCGTAACATTTTAGGATCATATTTAGACTTGAGTTATAAGCCTTAACTTTCCATAGAACCGTTCCCTGGATCGGTTTGTTTAATATCTGGCTATCAGGATTGGGGCAAGCAATATCAGGATTGGGGCAAGTAATATCAAGATTGAGGGAAGCAATTTAAGGATTGTGGGAAGTAATATAAGGATTGAAGGAAGCAATATAAGGATTGAGGGAAGCAATATAAGGATTGAGGGAAGCAATATAAGGATTGTGGGAAGCAATATAAGGATTGTGGGAAGCAATATAAGGATTGTGGGAAGCAATATAAGGATTGTGGGAAGCAATATAAGGATTGTGGGAAGCAATATAAGGATTGTGGGAAGCAATATAAGGATTGTGGGAAGCAATATAAGGATTGTGGGAAGCAATATAAGGATTGTGGGAAGCAATATAAGGATTGTGGGAAGCAATATAAGGATTGTGTAAGGATTGTGGGAAGCAATGTGCCCGAAGTGCTTTTAATACACAAATTATGAATTAACATTACAGTTTTGGCGCTTGCTGAAAATGGCACTGGGGTGAGGGCCGCGCCCCCCCCCCCCTCCCCCCTCTCCTTTGCTGTGAGTCGAACCTATCTCTTCCCTGATCCCGTGCGTTAAATCAAACATAGCTATTGCACGCTATCTTAGGTGGGGAAAGAGCTGTGTTAGATCACATTGAACTGGGTGGGCGAAACTATCAGAGCACTTAACTATGACACCTCCTTTTTTATTGCACGTATTTTTTTTATATTATTTTTGGATAGAAAAGATTTCAAAGTAAATAAAAACACATGGGGGAAAAAATCCATAAAAATGAATTTGTAAGTACAAGCCAAAAGTTTGTTTGCACGGTTTCCGTCGATGCGCGTTCGCTCAAGATATGTGCCTATAGTTGTTGAATACTAATAATAATAAAGTTCATTTAAAAAACACGCTTCATCCCCAAAGGCTCGAAGCGCGGTACAAAGTCAACAAAAAACAAATCTATAATTTACCACATTTAAAACAAACGCAACACTACAAAAACTAATTACAAGCATATGAAGACAATATCCTTATGAACACTTTTAACCTGAAAGTAACCATCTTAAAAAGTACCAAAAAAATTAACCACACACTTGGTGTAATCATTGCTTTTACACCAGCCATGTTTACATGGGTGTTTCGACAAAAACAATCTCTAAGGGAAAGTTGAATAGCTTTGTTTATTTAATCTATCAAATAGTTAAAGTCCAACCACTATTGGAATTAGGGAGGTGGTGTTAAATGAATGATGATGTAATAGCTAATAAGCGGTTCTATTAAACTATTCAAGGTCTATAGTATGGCCTAATGTAATAGCTATTTATGTAACACATCGCCCCATGATGTCAGTCATTCCCAATGTTATATATGTAATCATCACGTGGTTATACTGGTCAGCTAAGTTTCTTCCGTGTAATCACGGTGCCCATAATCGAAATGTTGTTTGCATTAATAAACAAGAAACTGATTGAAACGGAATAAAAAATCTGCACTCAAGGGGAGGGGGGCGGGGGCAGGGCTAATGGGCGTCTGGATCAGGGGCGTCATTTCAGTTGAGTCGGGGGGGGGGCAAAACTTGGTCGGCTTGTTAAGTAGTTTATTACCGTACTGGAGGTGCCACAGTACAAAACAATGTAAATAATGCCCCCACACTGCCCTACCCAAATGACGTCCCTGGTCTGGGTATCCCTCTATTGTTTTGAGACATAGTCTGAGCAAAGCTTAATGGTAACATTTTCATAGGACAAAAATAATCATATGAATTACTGCTATGGCTACTTTTTTGTGTAAGCTGGATCCAACTCTGATGGAACTCCCACCAATCTGAGATGATAGATAGCACTGCCTCTGATGGAACCCACCGTACTGAGATGATAGATGATAGCACTGCCTCTGATGGAAGTTCATGGAACCCACCATACTGAGATGCTAGATGATAGCACTGCCTCTGATGGAACCCACCATACTGAGATGATAGATGATAGCACTGCCTCTGATGGAACCCACCATACTGAGATGATAGATGATAGCACTGCCTCTGATGGAACCCACCATACTGAGATGATAGATAGCAATCTGTTGCGACGTACCGTCGTTATCTCCACCTAAAAGATAAGCTTCAAAACTATGTCAGTGATGTAAATAGCAGGACATAATCTTCCCGAAATCTTCGGTCCACTGTCCCGTTAAATGCAAGGGTGAACTGTAGGCTCACCAGTCAGTCATGGGGAGACAACTAGCAGCGGGTGTGTCCTTGGCTTTTCTTGCTCTGCTGGCCAGCGTCCAAGGGAAGACTGGTAAGTACTGAACAGCTTTCCAGCTATCAAGAAAATGTCTCTAGTCAAAATAATGAATACTATATACACATGAAAGAAAAGTTTTAAAAAAATAAAATGTCCCTAAATAGGTAGATTCCAGCTGAATGATTACGACTAAATTGAAACCCTATACCCTAGAGCAGGCCCTCACAACTCAAAATGTAAGGCGGGCCGTAACACTTAATGAAAAACTTGTGTGGGCCAAAAGAAATTAGGACATGACTTGTGCGGGCCAAAAGAATATAGGACGGGGGAAAAAGCTAATTAAGAAAATAATAAGAATAAAGAGTATTTGGTTACTTCGCGGGCCGCAAGGTGGGTGCTGGCGGGCCGTGTGGTGGTTGCTGGTGGGCCGTGTGGTGGGTGCTGGCGGGCCGTGTGGTGTGCGGTCCTGCCATACAAGATTCAAAGATTTACATTAATTTCAAAGAAGAATTAACGCAAGAAGGAAATAAAAACGGTTATTTACATTTAAAGTCTAACTAACTAACTAACTAACTAACTATAACTAACTGACTAACTAACTAACTATAACTAACTGACTAACTAACTAACTATAACTAACTGACTAACTAACTAACTAACTAACTAACTAACTAACTAACTATAACTAACTGACTGACTAACTAACTAACTATAACTAACTAACTAACTAACTAACTAACTAACTAACTAACTAACTAACTAACTAACTAACTAACTATAACTAACTGACTAACTAACTAACTAACTATAACTAACTGACTAACTAACTAACTAACTAACTAACTAAATATAACTAACTGACTAACTAACCCAGCTAGCTAACTAACTAGATAACTAACTAATTAACCATTCGATATTCGATATTCGATAATAAGAAGATTCGTATATATTAAAATACATCCAACCCCCCCCCCCCCAACCACAATCCACACTAAACATATTTTCAAAATAAAAACAAATAAAAAAAACCAATGACATCACCCTACCACGATGATTATCAACCATTCGGTTTGATCTCAGACTCAGATTCAATATTTCTATAGATCTACTACAAAGCGTGTGTTTAATTGTTTCTCAAGTAGTCGTTTAAGTATTTGCCCGGTGGGAAAGTCATTAAAAAGCTCATGTCGCAGCCTGAACAGTTCGCTTCATCAACTTTTGTTGTTGTACATACCATAATATCGCAGCATGGGAAATATTTTGTAATCTCCAGTCCTCCGTAATTAAAATGCAGTAGTTGGCTATTTAGTTATTTATGGTCTCAATAGCGACTGGCCACGTAGAGCGACGGCAGAGCAATGAGGGTATCAGGTAGTGGTTCTCACGATATGCAGGTGGCGTTCAAGTTTCTGTAACTTAAGTTCTTTACTTTAAGTCAAGTGGTGATGTGGGTCAGTGGATGGGGAGTCGTGCAAACAATGTGATAGGGAAGTAAAGTTGATTTATACACATTTTTTTTAAAAAGCTATCTTAGGTTCAAATTTTAAATTCAGTCTCACCCATTGTTATGGTATGGCCGGTGTACTTCAGCCAACACTTGTCTCCCCACTTTTTTAATATATAGGGCCTATATTGACCTCGCCAATAATATGTATGGCGGTGTACCAACCCCACCCTCCATTGATTGGGAAAAGGTTGTTTACGTTCTATTTGCTCTAAAAAAATGATAATTTATGAATTTTAAAATATTTTTTAAAAAAATAAGATGATAAGACCACGTGCAACTGAATTATATTTGAGAATATTGAAAATTGTGCAACATTTTTTTTGTAAAGTCTGAGATGAGTTTATGGGTTTATGGTAAAGAATTTATGGTAAGGGTTATTAGGCAAACATCGCATCATACCAGAGTTATTAGGCAAACATTGTATCATACCAGAGTTATAAGGCAAACATTGCATCATACCAGAGTTATTAGGCAAACATTGTAATTTTTAAACCATATGATTTGATAGCGATGAACGCTTCTAGCTTGCGACGTGTTTCGTTTCTGCAGATTTGGTGAGTCGGGAAGCGGTCCTCACAGCTAAGATCCTCCACTTGTACAAATCTAACAAAACCTACGCCACGCAGTTCGACAAGGTTTTCGGTGCCAAGCCCAACCTTTACAAAGTAGGTCAAGGTTAATGTATACAATTTAGATTCTTAGAGACCAGTCCCTTACGCGTATTCTCACACTTTATGGATGGTGCAGGATCCGCCTCTACTGCAGTGAGTTATGAGATTTGATTTAGAATCCCTGATGACAATACAAATGTGTCCCTTTTTTTCCCTTCAGAATGTCGATGCCAGTTTCCCCTGCCCTGGACTCAACCCATCACCAACAGCACCTACCTCAGGTTTGTGCAGAGGCGTAGCGAGGGTGTTTGGCGCCTGGGGACAAGATTCGCGCCCGGGGACTAGATCCATTTTAAAGCGCGCCCTTTTTATTTTTTTCAACTCTCAAACCCATTATTTTCATCAATAAAATAATATCAAAGCACAATTTGGTGCCCCTAACTAGCTGGCGCCCGGGGAGATCTGCCCCCCCCCCTGCCACCCCCTCGCTACGCCTCTGGGTTTGTGTACACGGTCTTGAGTTACTGACATACATATTCGTGAAATAGTTCGTGAGTTAAGTACTGTCAACTGAGCTCAATGTATTCCTACTCTAGTTGGAACTCAGTGTATGCCTACCCTTTTAAAAAAAAAAAAAACTCAGTGTATTCCTACCATAAGTCGAACACGTGGAAAAATCGATATATTTAAGAGCAAAAATATATCCATTCTTGTGTTCGCAAAAATAAATTATTATTTAAGCTTTTTCTCAAATGTAATTAAAGGTCAGGAATTTAATTTAGTAACATTGTTTACACGTCTTGAAAATTAATTGATCGTCATAAATATTTGTGGAGATATCAAATTTATGTTTCTAGACGCTTGCAGATCATACACATAATCTATACATACATGCTTAAATAACAAGTTGAAGCTGCATAGATAATAATTTTAAAAAAATAATACACATTTAGTGTACATGTTTATTGTGTCTCATCTGTCTCTATTAAATGTGTAAGTCTCTCCTCTCTCCCATTCGCTTCTGTTCCCGCCACCTCCAGTTCACACCCTGAGACCGGCAGACGTGAAAGTGGTTGCGGCCCTTGGTGATTCCTTAACCGTAAGTAGTATCCCTTCTACCAGTTCAAAGTTGACCAGATCGTGAAAGACTTCCTGTTATAATTATTACTAAGACTTTAACCCCACCAGTGTTAACCACTGTTCTATATCTAATATAATATGTCTAATCAGTGTCCTTTTAGCCACATGATATTTATTTTTAATCCATTTGGGGTAATTATTCGTCGAACTCCATTGCTAAACTGTAGTCTACAACAAATAAAAAAGTTGCTTTGTCTGTTCTACAAACTGAGACTCTTTCAACCGACAGTTACGGTCTTGTAAAATATCAAATTTTCAACCGACGTTTTCGAAGTTATCAAATATGATGTCAGCCTGACCTTGCTGTGTGGAGTAGGTTGGAATAGATCCTTAATAATAATAACTAATATAACTGGACTCTGAAAACTGCTAATTGCCCCAACTAATATGCAGATCCCACTAATAGACAGACACCACAAATGGACAAAACCCACTAATAGGCAGACACCACTAATAGACCGACCCCACAAATAGACATAACCCACTAATAGGCAGAAACAACAAATATACATACCCCACTAATTAGGCAGAAACAACACATAGACAGACCCCTCTTATAGACAGACCTCAATAATGGACAGACCCCACTAATAGACATACCCCACTAATAGGCAGATCCCACTAATATTCGATAATGATGTCATTGGTTTTTTTTTACTTTTTCCCAGGCTGGCAGGGGCGCTGAGGGTGGCATCATTGGTCTGCTCATTGACTATCGTGGCTTGTCTTGGAGGTAGGTCATCAGGTCAATACTTCTAGGATTATTTAGTATTGTCGTCCTCCGCGTGCGCAGATGACAAAGGCTACATTTGAGTTAAAACTTTGTCCTGAGCTGTAGTTTGTTTAAAGCGGTGAAGAGCTGCACAATCTTTCGGCCTCACACTCTAGTCCTCGCCTATTTCATCCGATGGCAAGACTGAGTCGAGACGACTGGAAATCGACCAGGATGCAGTGGATGACCAGCAGTGTGTGTTTATGTGTGTGTTTCACTGTGCTCTTATATGCGCTCTACGTCACAGGATTTGCTTACATTTTCATTGTATCCATTTCATACCGCCTACGGCACTCCATCTCCGGGTTTGAATTCAGAGTTGGCCATCTCTTAGAATGTTACACGTGGCATCAAAAGCTCTTGGCTATAAATAGACAGTTTTGTAGATTACTTACAATACTTGGACAATCAAATCAATAATTGAGAACTATTTCCATTTGTAATTTTTAAACAATGCCTTGTAATCAACAGATATAAACAATGACATATATATATATATATGTATATATATATATCTGCACGAATAATTTACGATTTTGGCGCCCCCTTAGGGTGGCACCCTTTGCCGCCCTTTTGCTCAACCATGCCTCTTTAAGATATTTGCCTTACATATTATATTATTGGGGCATTTTATCATACGCTCTAATAATTTCTCTAGTCAATGCAGTTTACTCTTTGAGTTCTCAAGTCCTTGTAATTTACCCTTTGCTTTTCAGCATTGGAGGGGACAAGTCCTACCAGGACCTCAGGACTCTACCTAGTAAGTTCAATTTTTTTTTTTTAAATGCGTAGACTAACTGTTGGAATAGCTTAAACATGGCTGGTATAGCTTACACGTTGCTGGTATAGCTTACACGTGGCTGGTATAGCTTACACGTGGCTGGTACATGGCTGGTATAGCTTACACATGGCTGGTATAGCTTGCATATGAATGGTATAGCTGACACATGGCTGGCCATCTGCATCAAGAATCAAGAAACGATATTGTCTTCATCTGTATGTGTGTATGTATGTGTTTGTAAGTGTGTAAGGGAGATTATTGTGTCATAAGTCTATTATTTTCTCCTGTAAGATAGTCAACTTTTCACATATAAGGGATATAATAAGTAGAAGGTATGAGGGCATCTTAACCGTTCAACTAATGTTTTGTTCGCCGAAGAAGGCTTCCCATCGATACGTTCTTTGCGTTATTTGGTCTCAAACATGACAGTCCAAACTTTTAACCTCCAGACATTCTACGACAGTACAGCAACGGTCTTTTTGGCTATTCTCAAGGAACAGGAACAGATGACCCTGGCTTTAATGTGGCCGTGAGTGGAGCCAAATCAGGGTAAGATAGCTGAGCCAAATCAGGGTAAGATAGCTGAGCCAAATCAGGGTAAGATAGCTGAGCCAAATCAGGGTAAGATAGCTGAACCAAATCAGGGTAAGATAGCTGAGCCAAATCAGGGTAAGATAGCTGAGCCAAATCAGGGTAAGATAGCTGAGCCAAATCAGGGTAAGATAGCTGAGCAAAATCAGGGTAAGATAGCTGAACCAAATCAGGGTAAGATAGCTGAGCCAAATCAGGGTAAGATAGCGGAGCCAAATCAGGGTAAGATAGCTGAGCCAAATCAGGGTAAGATAGCTGAGCCAAATCAGGGTAAGATAGCTGAGCCAAATCAGGGTAAGATAGCTGAGCCAAATCAGGGTAAGATAGCTGAGCCAAATCAGGGTAAGATATCTGTCAATAAAATACTATAGGGTCCTAACAAATCAGGGTCAGATATCTGTCAATAAAATACAATAGGGCCCCAACAAATCAGGGTAAGATATCTGTCAATAAAATACCATAGGGCCCTAACAAATCAGGGTAAGATATCTGTCAATAAAATACCATAGGGGCCTAAAAAATCAGGGTAAGATATCTGTCAATAAAATACCATAGGGCCCTAACAAATCAGGGTAAGATATCTGTCAATAAAATACCATAGGGCCCTAAAAAATCAGGGTAAGATATCTGTCAATAAAATACCATAGGGGCCTAAAAATCAGGGTAAGATATCTGTCAATAAAATACCATAGGGGCCTAAAAAATCAGGGTAAGATATCTGTCAATAAAATACCATAGGGCCCTAAAAAATCAGGGTAAGATATCTGTCAGTAAAATACCATAGGGGCCTAAAAAATCAGGGTAAGATATCTGTCAATAAAATACTATAGGGGCCTAACAAATGGGAGTAAAAAAATTGTTTTCGGGATGGGGGGGGGGTAGAAACGCCTTATTTTATGGAAAGCCAATATTGATGTAAAAAACTAGGAGAGTCGATTAGTCTATCACTTCTGTATATAGACAGTACTGCTGTCAAACTTATGATTAAACAAGTAATAATTCTTGCATCTGCTTCTCTCTCCCCCCCCCCCCCAAAAAAAAACAAACAAACAACAACAAACAAACAAACAAACAAAAAAAAAACACAAAAAACTCAACTTCCCATAACCACACTCCACAGTGAGATGCTAGAGCAGGCCCAGCGACTGGTGACGTTATTGAAGGAGAGCAGCAATGTTGATTTCAACAATGACTGGAAGGTCATCACACTATTCATCGGCGGAAACGACCTTTGCGATTGGTGTGACAATAAGGTCAGTAGGAATAGACTTTTTGTGATCGGTGTGACCATAAGGTCAGTAGAATAGACTTTTTTGATTGGTGTGATAATAAGGTCAGTAGGAATAGACTTTTTGTGATTGGTGGGACAATAAGGTCAGTAGGAATAGACTTTTTGTGATTGGTGGGACAAGAAGGTCAGTAGTAATAGACCTTTTGTGACTGGTGGGACAATGAGGTCAGTAGAAATAGACTTTTTTGATTGGTGGGACAATAAGGTCAGTAGGAATAGTCTTTATGTGATTGGTGGGACAATAAGGTCAGTAGAAATAGTCTCTTTGTGATTGGTGTGACAATATGGTCCGGAGCAATATTCTTTTTTTTTTGTGACTGGTAAAACACTGACTGAGATCAGTAGGAATAGTCTTACATTTCAAGGCACTTAACTGGTCGTTGTTTGCTAAGGCCAAGGCTTGGCAGCAGATTGGCACGCATGTACACTCAGACCGGTTCATGATGGAATGCGAAGACCGATACAAGTACGAATTTTCAGCCCTGGATTTCACCAGTGTGTCTGCTTGTTTCATTGCCCTTCTCGTTTACGTGGCTTGGAACTTGGAACCCATGGCGCAGTTCCCTTGCCTCCAATTTTATCGATCTTGCCCATGTCATCCAAGATGGAGTCAACCAAGAGGGTGACACGTGCAGCCTTAGAGAGCAGAAGTTAAATAGGACAACATGACAATGCCAAGTCACACCAGCTCCCAACTCTACAGCAAACTGTGCCACTAGCCAGTCCCCTGTGAATAGCCCCTACCTCTACATCGAACTGTGCCCACTAGCCAGTGCCATGTGAATAGCATCCACCCCTACAACGTACTGTGCCCACTAGCCAGTGCCCTGTGAATAGCCCCTACCTCTACAGCGTACTGTGCCCACTAGCCAGTGCCCTGTGGATAGCTCCCATCTCTACAGTGTACTGTGCTAACTAGCCAGTGCTCTGTGAATAGCATCCACCTCTACAGCGTACTGTGCCCACTAACCAGTGCCCTGTGAATAGCCTCCATGTCAGCATCGAAATCGACGCTGTTGTTCTGAGACAGACTGGGTATGACCTGAGACAGACTGGGTATGACCTGAGACAGACTAGGTATGACCTGAGATAGACTGGGTATGACCTGAGACAGACTGGGTATATGACCTGAGACAGACTGGGTATATGACCTGAGACAGGCTGGGTATATGACCTGAGACAGACTGGGTAATGACCTGAGACAGACTGGGTATATGACCTGAGACAGACTGGGTATATGACCTGACACAGCGGTCACACTCCCCTCACCTCCGTAACCTCTCTCTGACAGGATGAGTACAGTGCCGAGAAGTACGCCGCTCACCTCCAAGACACACTGGACTACCTGCACGCCAGCGTCCCGCGCGCTTTTGTCAACTTGGTGGAGGTTCTCAATTTGGAGATGGTCAAGGACCTGGCCGACAACTTGCTCTGTGCAGCTGTGCATTTGTAAGAATCCCTGATTTGTTAAAATTTTAATTCATATTTCAGGGCATATTGACCCTTACTTTTGAACCGTTGAGAACCACTGTTCAAGACGGATATTTGGTGTAGCTGCTGAATATGGTTATTGAAACAGGACCGTGCGAAGGGTGAGAAGGTGAAGGGCGCATCCACCCCCAGGTACCATCCTTAGAGTGCGCTATGGCCGCCATGTTGCATGCACCATGTGTGGTGCAAGAAGCCCCTTTTCGGGAAGAGGGCGCCTAAATTCAAGCTCTTCTTCGGGCGCAGCTTTTGGATGGCACGGACCCAAGCGAAACGAGTTTGTTTCTCAAGATTGCTGAAGCGTGTCCACACTTTGAGGAGTTTTTTTAAAAGACTTTTTGCTGTTAAATGATTTATTTTGACAAATATTTATATGGGGTGTTGTGGAATTAATTTAATCAACTGTTACACACCGCACATTCAATCAACTGCTACACCCCGCACATTCCATCAACTGCTACACCCCGCACATCCCATCAACTGCTACACACCACACATTCCATCAACTGCTACACACCGCACGTTCCATCAACTGCTACACCCCGCACATTTAATCAACTGCTACACACCGCACATTCCATCAACTGCTACACACCGCACATTCCATCAACTGCTACACACCACACATTCCATCAACTGCTACACACCGCACATTCCATCAACTGCTACACACCACACATTCCATCAACTGCTACACACCGCACGTTCCATCAACTGCTACACACCACACATTCCATCAACTGCTACACACCGCACATTCCATCAACTGCTACACACCACACATTCCATCAACTGCTACACACCACACATTCCATCAACTGCTACACACCGCACGTTCCATCAACTGCTACACACCACACATTCCATTCCAGTTTCGTCTGCAACTGTGCCGCGAACCCTAAGAGCCAAGCAGACCTGGACGAGCTGATACGCCTGCGAGAGGGTTACCAAAAAGCCGCACGTGACCTTGTGGCGACCGGACGCTACGACACCAACGAAGACTTTACCGTCGTCCTCCAGCCTTTCTACAGGGAGACGTTCACTCCCAGAACGGTAAGGTCAAGGTCACTCACAGCCCTTTCTAACGAGAGACGTTCACTCCCAGAACTTTAAGGTCAAGGTCACCCTCATCATTTCTACTGGGAGACGTTTACTCCCAGAACATTAAGGTCAAGGTCACCCTAAGCCGTTCTGCAGGGAGACATTCCCTCCCAGAACGGTAAGGTCAAGGTCACCCTTTCTGCAGGGAGACATTCACTCCCAGAATGGTAAGGTCAAGGTCACCCTTTCTGCAGGGATACATAATTTACTTCCAGAACGGTTAGGTCAAGGTCACTCTCGGCCTTTATTTTCGCAGACAACATCAATAAGATGCGAAGAAATCTGTGATGGTCTTTGTAGATAACATGTATGGGATATCTATGTCATGAAATCATGTAGTTAGTGTAATACAGTGAATTGCATTTTGTTTTCTTACCTCTGACACATGTTCACTCTTGCGTGACGACACAGACCAATGGTCAACCGGATATGTCCTTCTTTGCCAGCGACTGCTTCCATCACAGCAAGAAGGGTCAACAGGCGGCAGCTGAAGCCCTTTGGAATAACATGGTGGGTGGAAACGTGCTTCGTGTGTAGATATGTTCATTGTGCAGATGTGTTCATTGTGTAGATGTGTTCATTGTGCAGATGTGTTCATTGTGCAGATGTGTTCAGTACGTAGATGTGTTCAGGGTTTAGATATGTTCAGTGTGTAGATATGTTCATTGTGTAGATGTGTTCATTGTGTAGATGTGTTCATTGTGTAGATGTGTTCATTGTACAGATGTGTTCATTGTGCAGATGTGTTCATTGTGCAGATGTGTTCATTGTGCAGATGTGTTCAGTACGTAGATGTGTTCATTGTGCAGATGTGTTCAGTGTGTAGATGTGTTCATTAAAATAAATGTGTTCATTGTATATATGTGTTCATTGTGTAGATGTGTTCATTGTGTAGATGTGTTCATTGTGTAGATGTGTTCATTGTGTAGATGTGTTCATTGTGTAGTTACCACTGAAATAGCTGAAACAAAACTATATGTTATCACTATGTTGACACAAGCATAGAGAGTAGTAACATCACGTTGTTTGTTCATTGAGCTGTTACCACGCGAGCAGATCAAACAACAGAATCAATATACCGGTACTAAGTAAATTAGAGAGACCGGCTGAGATGATCATTATATTTATGCAGCTTGTATATGCACTCTCAAACAACTACGCGAGACAGCTGTAATGTAGAGTAGTTGCAACGTAAGGAAGTTGAAATATAGAACAGATGTAATGTAGAACAGGTGTAATATAAAACATGTTTAAGGTAGAACAGTTGTAATGTAGCACAACTGGTTTTTTTTGTGGGGGGGGGGGGGGCATTGGAGTGGAAGAAAAACAAACAATTAAAAACAGCTGTTTTGCAGCACAGCTGTGACGTAGAACCGCTGTAATGTAGTACTACAGTAGTGCTGAACAGCCACATTTCTCTTATGTCCACACTGCATGTCTATTCCATTGCTCACTCCCCCAGGTCGAACCAGTCGGGTCGAAACGTCTCAACTGGATGCCTGGTGAACCTATCGAATGTCCCTCCGAGGTAAGTGAACGCCTTCAGGCCCACATTACACACATAACGTGGTGGGCCAATGCCCAGGGTCCCCAGACTTAAGAGGTTTCCGCACAGCCGCATCTGCTGGGTTCACAGTCAATCGTGTAGACGCGGGGCCTTTTGGGAAATGGTTTTCATGGCCCCAACAGGGGTCTACCTGGTCCTGGATGCAGTGGTCCTGGATACAGTGGTCCTGGATACAGTGGTCCTGGATACAGTGGTCCTGGATACAGTGGTCCTGGATACAGTGGTCCTGGATACAGTGGTTCTGGATACAGTGGTCCTGGATGCAGTGGTCCTGGATACAGTGGTCCTGGATACAGTGGTCCTGGATACAGTGGTCCTGGATACAGTGGACTTAAGTTATTTGATTTGTGATCTAAGACATTTGAAATCTTAACGGATCGTGTACAACTAAGTCTAGATACAGAAACGAAAAACGGTGCAACTGGGTGGGGGGTGGGGGGGGAGTGGGTGTGTGCTAGAAGAGGTAGAGAAGGGTGTACAGTGGTCCTGGATACAGTGGTCCTGGATACAGTGGTCCTGGATACAGTGGACTTAAGTTATTTGATTTGTGATCTAAGACATTTGAAATCTTAACGGATCGTGTACAACTAAGTCTTGATACAGAAACGAAAAACGGTGCACCTGGGTGGGGGGTGGGGTGGGAGTGGGTGTGTGCTAGAAGAGTTAGAGAAGGGTGACTAAGTGGAGTTAGTGAAAATGTGTACAATGAAATGTGGATGTATACGTTGATGGAGTGTGTTGAGGCTAATTTAAATCTATAAGAAAACCTGCAGCGTGTGGACTGAATGTTTCGAGGGAAAAACAACAACTGACAGGCTGCCATTATTATTATTATTCATTTTTGTTCACAGGAGAAACCGTACTTCTTCACTGCAAAGAACAGCAACCAGAGAGCCAAGCCCCCGCCAATCCACTGAGATATGACGAGTAGCAGCCCTTTGTTGTTTTCATTTTTTGTTGGCGTTGATATTACTCAAATTAGTTTAAATAAAATTTAAAAAAATTCAATGTCAGGTTTTATTTGGTTAAAAATAGTATTAATGAACTCTTCTTGACCCCCCAAGCCCACATCTCCCTGAAATGAACTTTTCTTGACCCCCCAAGCCCACATCTCCCTGAAATGAACTCTTCTTGACCCCCAAGCCCACATCTCTCTGAAATGAACTCTTCTTTACCCCCAAGCCCCCCATCTCCCTGAAATGAACTCTTCTTGACCCCCAAGCCCCCATCTCCCTGAAATGAACTCTTCTTGACCCCCAAGCCCCCATCTCCCTGAATCCCCCATCTCCCTCAAATCGACTCTTCTTGACCCCCCAGCCCCCCAACTCCCCGAAATGAACTCTTCTTGACCCCCAAGCCCCGCATCTCCCTGAAATGAACTCTTCTTGACCCCCAAGCCCCCATCTCCCTGAAAAAAGTTTTGAAAATACAAATATAACAAAATAAAACTCGCCATTGTAGAAAAATACGGGTAGCCAAGCTCAAACGGATGACCACAGTGGATGTGTTACATCAACGGATGACCACAGTGGATGTGTTACATCAACGGATGACCACAGTGGATGTGTTACATATTGTAGTGTTTAATGTCTTGCTGATAAATGCAGGGCAAAATCTTGTTATCTATGCTGTCGATGTTAGTGACAGTATGTTGTTACACATCTTTGTTGTCTATGTTATTTTTTTATTGACATTATGTTGTCTATGTTATCTATGTTTTGACATTATGTTGTTACATATCAATGTTATCTATGTTATTGACATTATTCATTCAATGAATACGTGGATGTTTTTGGTTAAAATGATGGATTAGAATAAAATAAAATATTTTAGCTCCTTAGCCGTTTATTATTGAGACGAGAAGGATGGGTGCAGACCTGAATGAAAGAGAGAGAGAGAGAGAGAGAGAGAGGCAGACAGAAAGAGAAAGATTACAGAAAAAGAGAGAGAGACACGGAGAGAGAGAGAGAGAGAGAGAGAGAGAGAGAGAGAGAGAGAGAGAGAGAGAGAGAGAGAGAGAGAGAGAAAAAAAAAAGAGAGAGAGAGAGAGAGAGAGAGAGAGAGAGGGAGAGAGAAAGAGAAAGATAAAAGAAAAAGAGAGAGAGAGAGGGAGAGAGAGAGAGAGAGAGAGAGAGAGAGAGAGAGAGGCAGACAGAAAGAGAAAGATTACAGAAAAAGAGAGAGAGACACGGAGAGAGAGAGAGAGAGAGAGACAGAAATAAATAAATAAAGAGAGATACAGAGAGAGAGAAAGAAAGAGAGATATACAAGGAGAAAGAAAGAAATAGAGATACACAGAGAGAGAGAGAGAGAGAGAGAAAACATATTTTAAAAAAAAAATTCATTAGAAGAAAACCATATGAAATTTTCACAAACTGTTACTGTAATCGAGTGACACCCCTTTTTCGTTTTGATGGTGACAACCCAGAGACATCGCTTGGGTATCGCCGTTGGGGGTGGGGGTGTAATGCGCGGCGCCCCCCCCCCCCCCCCCCCCCCCCCCCCCCCCATTGGCAGGTTTGATTTAAATCGGTATTTACTGTGAAGCCTCCAGTAATAATAAAAAAACTCAACAAGACGGCCAAGTTTTGATTAAAAAAAACAAAAAAACTGAAATAACGTTCCTGCTTCTATATAACTTATTAATCCAGCATATTTATTTGGTAAAAATAACAGCAGAAACATTCTTATTTACTCAAGTATTTAAAATTTTGTATGCCCAAGTATCCTTTTTGTACTGAAACTCAAGGATTACTTGGTACTATAAAAACTGATAGATCAAATACACAATGACATATAAGAGAAGCATCAAATAATAATAAAAATGGAGCCGGCACGTTTGATGTTGCTTTGCTGAGCGTCCTTTTTATTATGTTTATTCAAAATTAATGGAAGCGCCTTGCTTATGATGAACACTTTTACCGGTATGCTTAAACGGCTGTAATATACAGTTTTATTACGCTATAGCAAGTCATAAAATACATACCTACAAATCATTTTAAAAAAACAACAACAATACTTAATCTCTTTAAATGTGCATCGTTGACAAACTGAATTTAATTTCATTACTAGTATTAATATTAGATAAAAATAAACTTAAAATTTTTCATGTAATATTTCCTCCCAATTAAAAGCTGCATTAGAATCATCGGGTAAGATTGAACAGCTAATTTTTAAGAACTTTTTAATATTTAAAAAAATTTAAAACTTGTAACATATTCTAATTTTAATATATAATTAACTACTTCTTTACTTTATTAATAAAGGATTAAATAAATGAGTTGATTAAAAACATTGTCTATAATTTGAAAGAAAAAAGTTAACAGAAATGAAAAATGCCTTCAATACTACTTTCTATCTTATGTAAAAAAAAAAGTAGTGGATCCCTTCACTGCCTTCACATTTGAAATTATTCTTTTAGTTGGGATTAGTGCTCCGTTTCATTGATTTTAACCCGGTAGGACACCTCATCAGTTTGTAATTGTTGACAAACGGCTGAGGAACATAGAGATTCCTCGACATACGGCACGGACGTCTACATTATAATTAATTTATTGTCACACTATTAGTAAGTATTTTATTTTTGTGTTTTAGTCAAAATGCCTTATTTAAGATACATTGATTTATGATGCTGATAATATTCAAGTATTGATTAAAAATCTCATCCATCTGGCTCATCTGGTTAGGTACTTTGACACAAAATCTAAATATTGTCTGATTGCCATGAATTATACATCATTTTAATGGTCTAGCTATAACCTTTATAACAACGCCAATTTCATCTTTCTATCTTTTATAGAAGCGGAGTTATCATTTTGTTGGTGATTTTTTACAACCCCCTTCTTTATCTTTGTATTTCAGTTAAATTTTAACCGAAAAAAGTTGTGACCCACTTTCCAAATTTCTGCCTTATTTTGCCCCAAACTTTTTAATTTTAAAAGATAATGCTACCAAATTTTCAGGAGACATTCTCAATGCAATATACAACAAAACTTTATATAACATGAAGACTTTTATTTTTTTAAATATATATTTGAGAGTATGTTAAGAAAAACATAAGCAGAAAAGTATGAAAAATTAACATTTGTAAAGGAAAAAACACAAAAATAACATGTTTGTTGTATTTTAATGAATTATATGCTTACATTTTAAACCAATTCTTATATTTATGAAAGGTAAGTAGAAGTCTTTTTTGTTACAATGAATTTGAATGCATAAGATTATAAAAAGAAACTATTTACATCACCAATAAGACTAATATGGGCATACCTGTACAGGGGTATGTGATTACATTAAGGTTAAGGGGGGTGTTATGCCTGTCATTTTTATATTTAGACTGCTCTTCAAACAGCTTGGTCTTGTTGATAAATCCATGATCTCTCTTTCATATACTTTGTCTTTGTCCAAACGTGCTTACTCGTCAATGGAAGGACTTCTTTAATAGAAAATTAAAATTTTCTCCGATGTCTGAATGAAACCAAGAAATAACAGCTAATCATATCCTGAATCTACATAATTTCTTATTGCTTTTTAATATTATTCAATTTTTTTTGTTTGGTAAAACTAATTTCTTTTAGTTGTATTTTATTAGAAATATTATATATTTGCCTATGTAAACTGTCTTTGAGCCTTAAGAATAATTACTAAGTTAACTAAGACTTAGTTAACTTAATGATGTTTGTTTATTTGATGTCTTTAATTTATAATTAAATGCCTTATTAATGTTTTTAAAATACTAACTTAAATTAGGCCTGTAACTGTATGAGTAAATATATTCTCTTATAGGAGTAATGTCACTAATTAGAGAATAGCATTTATTATTAAGATTATTCAACTATTATTGATTCAATAAAGAAGATCGGATAAAATGTTTAGGCCTTCTCTCATAAAATTTCTAAAATTAAAATCGATATCTACATATAATTGTATAATAGTTTATGTATATCAAGGGACAAAACTGGTCCGAAATTCAACAGACTACACAAACTAAAATTAATAAATTAATAAAACAATATTTGATTTACTGGTTTGTAATAATTTCTTAAAATTTAGTAAAACTGTTTCCACGAATTTTTGAAGATAAACATTGATAGTCATCTTTTTCATATCATCATATTAAAATATTAATGACGAGAGCTATTTCCGACAACCCAATTTTTTTTTATTTGAGGAGGGATAACTGGTGAAAAACTCGATTTTCTAAAACTGCGGGGTCTCTAACTTTCTTCAGCGATCACTATTATTAACGAAATAAAGTTATTCCATTTCGTGAATATATGAAGCAGTAGCGCAGTTAAATTCAAAGCGTTGCGATTTTACATTAAAAAGAAATAAGCTATTTAAGTACATACCTGTATATAATAGTAAATAAGTTGCCAGTACAAAGTCCAACCTGCGGACAAAATGGTGTCAAATGTTTTGAAAAAATATGCGCTCCACGTCACTGATGAGGAAAGCAATTATTTAATAAACAAAGGTGACGTAGTGTGCAATTTTCCAAAGATACCGTGTAGCTGTACGCCATATTGTAGAACAAGTTTTATCGACATTTTTGGACATGCGCAGATCGGTGCGTCGACTAGTTTTAAAGTGCCGAATCAGGTTGCTGACACTGACATTATTATCAGACTGCCTCCGCATTCTGTTACGGACTATACTATACTTAATTAATAAATACTTAACTTACTAATAATTATAAGCTTAACGAAATTATTAGAATTATAGTAAACATAAGCTAAGACTCATTGTATTAACCTTAAATAAACCACAAGCGTAGTAGACTTTAAAAAATAAATTTCTTAATAATTTAATATTATCTGAATCTGAACATGAATCAATTAATCGGCATAGGCATAGCCATAGATCATAGGTAATTCAGTTTAAAAATTTTTTTAAAAAATGTATTAAAATATTTTGGTTTTATAGAAAAAAAAAATGAAACCAGAATCAACTTTCTAGCTTTAGTACTTTTTAGCTACGCATTTTTAAAATGCGAGTTTCTTTGGTTAGGTACTCCAACTCAAATTTTTTAATTCATCTGATACACACAATGAGCATATCATTGGAAAGAGCTGGCTTTAAGCTGTCTAATGACACCAAGATAATCTTTCAATCACTTATAGGAGAAAAGTTATGAATTTTTTAGTGATTTATTTTTCCCCACTATTCGGCTTTGTATTTAATTTTTAAAACTGTGATCGCATTATTACTCTTTTTGTACTATTTTGCTTGTATCTTTTTGGCCATTAAAGTTAGAGCTATCAAATTTGGAGGAGATATTTGCAATACAATGTTTAACAGAATAGAACACATGAATTTTGAATTGACTTATTATATTTGTAAAAAATATGACTTTATGAGCATATGGCGTGGATAACGACAATTGACGAAAAATTTAATTTTACAAAAATTGTCATAATTACTAAACCAATAAAGCTATTTCTATAAAATTTTCATTACAATCAGATAATGTACATCTAATAGTAAAGCAAATTTAAAATAAATAAAATGCAGATCAGAAAAATGTATGTAATATTAGAAAAATTATTTCAATAAAAGCTACAGCGGCCGAGAAATATTTACATTTAAATACATAACTTTTAAACTAATAAAGCTACTGCAATAAATTTAGTACAAATAGATAGTGACAATTTAAATATAATATAATATTCAAATATTAAAAAAAAATGCAATTAAAATAATCCTATCCAAAATTCAAAAATGTTACGTAAGTTGTCGAAATTGATGTCCATTTTTAAACATTCAGGATATGTTTCATGGCTTCGGAGCTCTGCCTACTCTTAATCCTCATTAATTGGTAAATTAAAAACAT